AGGAGACACAGGGGAGATAACCCAAGCAGCACTGCTATACGCTATTCCCAGCTGTGTGTGTTAATCCACTCAGCAATCACGCCACCAGAAGTTTTTCTCAGTGTTTTTCATCATCGGCAGGAGGAGAAGAAAAAAAAAAAAGGCTTGTTCCTCTCTAAGCTCTGCGAGACAAGGAAGACAGAGTTGCACTGAGAGATGGAAATAGATCATGAAATACAGAAACTGAAATGATTTCCCAGTCACACAGCCACTTACAGCGAGGAGGAACACTCAAATGAAAAAGTCAAACAGACTGAAGTGGAAGGGATGGTGAACAGTGATAGCATAATTCACAGTATATAGACATCTAAGACCAGCGCCAGAGTTGTTCAGATTTAACAAGGAGTGGTGGGGGGTAAAGTGCTGATCTCCTCCATTTCCCCAGAAGATATCTAGTTAACTGGCAAGAAGCTATGCATATTTTTAATGAAGTGGAGATACCACCCACATTCACCCCTCAACAAATCAACCCCTGGGACTACAGTAGGAGTTGTGTTTGCATTTCTGAAGTGCCTTACATTGGCAAAAGTTATAGTAGAAAGTGATCTCAACTGTTCCATAAGCTGTGCTACTACAGCACCAACCTCTGGTGTATAACGCTGTGTTACTGCATCATAGAGTGTGTGTTTCTGTTGTAGACCCACCCTGCAGGCTGAATGAATGAAACATGCATGTCCAGTCTGCCCCACTTGAAACACATACACACAAACTAAACATGTATAGCAACACCTAGTGGCCTTAATTTGCTGTTACACTGGCAGTATAGACAGAGAAGAACTGCTCTGTAAAATGGTCATGTCACTGTGTGTGTGTGTGTGTGTGTGTGTGTGTGTGTGTGTAACCCTTAATGGTGTGTGAGCTACTTGTCGTTGAAGTATTGTTAAGATATTGGTGCTAGGCTGCTGCTTCTTCTTTTTTTTTTCCTGCAGTGCAATGTAGATAATTAGGACTCTATTTAGAGAGAGGGCCAGCCCAGGAAATACACAGGAGATCCTCACCTCATTAAAAATCAATTATCATAACACACGTGCCGGCGCAATACAGCCCTCATGGCCACAGTCAGCTACACACACATGCACGTGTGGCAACCGTAATGGAGTGCACACTACAACAACTATCTTTGCCTTGTTCTTTCTCTAGTTCCTCTCTAGTTAGCTAGTCTGGGTTTTTTTTTTTTCACTCTCTCTCTCAAGAGATTGCGCAGGCCTGATCCTCCTCTTAGCTGAGGAATCGCCAGCGTTGCAGTCCCGCTCTTACATAATAACCTCAGGATAACACTCGCGCTCCCGCTGGCCGAACATGCTGTCAGTCACTCAGCTCGGAGTGGGTCAGCTCAGGTTGGAGACAAGGCCCTCCCACCCCTGTGAAAGACATGTAGCTGAGAGCAAAATAATCTCTGAAAAGTAGAAATGAGTGTTTTTTTCCACTAAGGTTTTGTTTGTAAATGGTCGCCTGTCAGGAGAGGTTAGGGGGAATAGCTGCATTAGACTCACTTTCTGTAGTTCTACTCTTCTTTAGAAATTCACTTTCACTGCGGCTTTGAAACTGAAAGTTTGCTTCTGTAATGTAAAAACCATGAAATCAAATACCCAAAATGTATTATCATACATCCTAACTTTGAAAACAATAACAACACGGACTCCTCTAAACACCCAACAGATAACACACGTCTTAATTCTGCCGTAATCCGTAACAAGGCAGCAAGCATGTATTGTTGACTGGATGTGGAAGTGGGAGTCCTTTTGGTAAACAATTCACAAAGCCTCTGCTGCTGAGAGAGGGCGACGGGACGAAACAGTGGTGATACACCGAGCTGGCTGCACACACCGATGACGTCACTTCCTTTAAGAGTGTGACAGCTTAGCACATCATCGCTGTGACAGCCAGACGAGTGCAGCGAGTGGGTGGTCACCCTGGCAACAGCAATGCTGTCATGACCGTCTCCCTATATCCTACCTGACAGTCCCCGCTGGCAATGAGCACAACACACACTCAACAATGCACACACCCCCACACACACACACACACACACACACACACATATTCACAAACACTTTGTCAAACACGGAGACATGTACACATACTTTATCTTTCACTGTGTCTTCTTTATAAGTGAAACGCTCACTCAAACCCCCTCTGAAACACACACTAAAACAATGCACATGCCCACACGCCCATGCTCCTTTGGGCATAATTATGTGATACAAAGAGGAGTACAACCTCCCAAGGGGCAAAAAGAAATACAGAGAAGCTATAATGTAATCACTGGAGAGAAACACACACTCCTCTAAGGTGGAAAAATGTAAAGAGCTTTTTCTAAAAATCTCTTAAATATTAAGTATGTATATCCACATCACAGCAGCAGCAGGTGTGGGCTGAACAATTCAGCTTGTCTAAACCCATAGATATTCACTTTATTCATGATTAACAATTTAATCACTTAGACTTGAAGTGTGTGTTAAACAATAGCAACCGCAAAAAAGAAAGAGGATTGTAAGAAGCAAAGAGTGAAGGTGATAAGAAGCACAGCTGATGCATTGTTGTCCTGTCTCCTGTTTACTGCTCATATGTGGTTTGTTGATAACAGCCATCATGGGCACAACTGACCTGTTTTACAGACTATAAATAGAGTGTTACAGGCCATGTTCATTGACAGCTCTGTGTATGTGTAGTCTGTGTGTTGTCCCAGTCCAGTGCTCTGCTCTGCTCTGACCCAGTTTGGAACCAGTTGGGCGGGAATTGGTGGAAATGGGTCACATCTTGTGCTGCACCAAAACTCACAGCAAGAGCTACGCCACCTTAAGCACATAGTCAAACTGCATGTTATTACGTCCATAGGTCATTCATTCACAGACAATCTCCTGTGGAGGGACACAATGATCCATTATTGGCTTTGAGGTACTAAATGTGAATTATAATCTTACAAGAGAGAAATTAAGGGGCTAAAGGCACATTCACATCCTTAATGACAACTATAAAGATAACTAGAACAACGCACAATGCAATAAGCATGAGGGACGGTGCATAGTCCAGGGTCACGGCAGATCAGAGATCAGTTTATAGTTTCTAGATATTTTAATGCCACTTAATGGCCACTAGGGGGCCAATAGGCAAGTGAATGAATGGATGAGGAAAAACAAATGAATGAGTACATGAGCAAGTTACTTAGTGCATCTGGAGGTCTTTTGATGCAAATTGCAAAAGCTGCAATTTTTCTTGACAAATTTAAAATTTGTGACAAACAGCATCATAATGAAGTACTGTAGTGCTGCAGAGATCCCCTGGCCTACAAATCATGTTCTCCACATTTAACATGTTTGTTACATGTACAAACCCCCAAAAATATTCACGATTTTAATTTTTCATTGAAAATTATATTTGCGCAGCTCTATAACTGTTCCATCATTATCTCCATATTCCCTTTCTATCCAATCTCCCTGAGCTACAGGTAAAGTGTATAGACTGTCTGTTGCTGCTCAGTCGCTTAGACAGACAGAACTGTCTCCATTGATCCTCATATGGGATTATCCAATTACATACACTGCACACTCATTCCTCCACAGACATTTAGTATACACACACACCTATAGTACAACATGCACCTGTATGTACAGTATGCACACATACACACATACAAACAATTCATACTCTAAAATCAGAACATATACACTGGCTTCAATGCACAAAATACACTGATACAACTCCTACAAATGCACGTCACTGTGCAAACACATGCAGTTCAGACTCAGGCAAGCATACCGGTGCACACACACACAAACACATACGTGTTCTCTGCAAATACACACCTCTCTAGCACCAATTCCAGTTACACAGGTTTTATATTGTTCTTAAGGGGAATAGAGTAGGCAGAATTCATGCAAACATGATATTATAAAACTGAACACAACTTGTATTTCCCGTTCTTCTGTTTTTGAACTTCGAGCATTCAGAAATACCTGCAGAATTTCCTACAGGTGGGAAATATGCAAAGAGATTACATGTGAATGGCTATTTCAGCTGTGGCTAAGCCAGTAAGCAAGCAGAGGAGGGAACCAGCTCGTCGGGAAATAATTTAGGATTAGATAGGCTGTCTAATCTCTTTATAGAGGGTGTGCCATCTCAGCAGACATACCTGCCTACCTCTAGATCCATCTCATATCTCTTAACAGGCGCTGCGGCTTTCTCTTTCCATATATTATGGATAATAAGTTCAAAGACACCGGTGACAGGTGCTTCTGTGTGTTGCATTGAAATACTTTCTGTGCCTTTGGTTGTGACTGTACATGGAGCTGCCAATACACAGTGAGTAAAAGCAGTTAAATTAGTACAGCGGTAGATTGAGAAAAAGCTAAATACTGAAAGCATTAGTAAAAAAGGTTGTAGAACTCGATGTCTGTGTGTGTGTGTGTGTGTGTGTGTGTGTGTGTGTGTGTGTGTGTGTGTGTGTGTGTGGAGAGAGAGAGAGAGAGAGAGAGAGAGAGAGAGAGAGAGAGAGAGAGAGAGAGAGAGTTGAAGAGTGGTCCTTCACTGATGTAACCTGTTTTCTCATTATGGGCAACCTTTATAACCTCGCAGGGGTCTCTCCTTCAAGCGTAACACAGGGACCCCACACACACACAATTAATGCTATCCTGTCATTTATGTGTGCGTGTGTGTGTGTCTGTCTACACGTATGCAGTCCTCGACATGTCCCAGTCATTAGAAAAACTCCCGCAAGAACATACAGAATGACCAGATGTCACTGTGCCCTTGTGAAGTCACAGACAAATTGTGCGCAGACACATTCACACGTAGTAACCTCAATCAGGTCCAGACAACCATTTTTCTTTTTACCCTCAAATTAGACCACCACCTGAGGTCTAAAAATCTGTGAGGTGACTGAATCAGGTGGGAAGAAAAAAGTCTTGGTCCTGTCCAAAATCTGTTTTTTTTAAACGCATGTCTTTTCTTTTTGCTTGCAGCCCAAATTGAAGTTATACCATGCAAAATCTGCGGAGACAAATCATCAGGTATCCACTATGGAGTCATTACGTGCGAGGGATGTAAGGTGAGGCTTATTACAGTGATTCATCAAAGCCTGTTTATTTGTGCTCGGAAATTGCGCATTTACATCTACGGGTACCTGTGAGCCTGTATTCACGCTCTTTGTTGACGTGTTCACAGGGTTTCTTCAGACGGAGTCAGCAGAACAATGCAGCCTACTCCTGCCCCCGCCAGAGGAACTGCCTCATCGACAGAACAAACCGCAACCGCTGCCAACACTGCCGCCTGCAGAAATGTCTCGCCCTAGGAATGTCCAGAGATGGTAAGGCCCATTAAATCAGTATCTATATCTACATGTATTTAAAAAGGATTATCACTAAACCATCATACTGTATGTGTAGTGCATGAGTGTACACTCAGATCTTATGCAGTCTTGTATCTGAGCTCTTAGGCTCTCCTAGGTTTTTTTTCCTACTTCAACATGCTGTATTTTAACTGCTCTACATTGTTTGTTTCTTACTGAGTTATGCTGCCTTAGGAAGCTAAAATGTTGTGAGGTTTTCTTTTTTTGGTATTAATTCTGTCTCGCTCCCTTGTTGCAGCGGTAAAGTTTGGCCGCATGTCCAAGAAGCAACGTGACAGCCTGTATGCAGAGGTCCAGAAGCACCAGGCGCGACTGCAGGAGCAGCGGCAGCAGCAGACAGGTGAAGCGGAGGCTCTGGCACGCGTTTACTCATCCAGCCTAACCAACGGACTGTCCACCCTTAACCATGAGATTGGGGGCACCTATGCCAATGGCCACGTCATTGAGCTGCCCAAGGGTGGCCATGGCAACGGAGGGGGAGTCCCAGGGGGATACTATGGGATAGATTCCACCCAGCCGTCTCCAGACCAGTCAGGTTTGGACATGTCGGGCATGAAGCACATTAAACAGGAGCCGGTGTATGATCTGACACCAGTACCCAACCTGTTCAGCTACGGAGGCTACCAGGACAGCCAGCTGGGACCCAACAATGTCAGCATGGGAGAGCTGGGTAAAGACTGCATGACATTTTTGCTCCGTCAGTACACAGTAGAATGGCTCATCATTTAAAATCTACATGAATTATCCACGTGGAAAAATTACCCACAAAGTAGTCCTGGTAGAGAGCGTGAGTCAGAGTGCTAATCTGAGAGCAGAACAGGAGATCAGACAGGCTTACACAGCTAGCTGACAAGGTGTCATATTACTGTATGTACAGCTCAGCCTGTTAGCACAAGTTAAGATTAAGTTAAAATGAAGGATTTAGCACAAATCCAAGGAAATGTTAAATTAAGCAGTAAACTGGTAGCACTGAAAAATAGACAGAAGATAGATAGATAGATAGATAGATAGATAGATGGATAGATAGATAGATAGATAGATAGATAGATAGATAGATAGATAGATAGATAGATAGATAGATAGATAGATAGATAGATAGATAGATATAGCAATATAAAATGCAATATAAAAAATGTATAAAATGTATAAATAAGCGGTATAATTGTAGTGCAAAGTAAAAATATAAGGTGCAGTGAACAGAAAAAATGCCAGAATCTTCAACATATAAGAATCATAGCTACAGTATAATGTGCAGAATACATGTATGCATTTCTTTAGCACCACCAATACACATACCATATACCACTGTATCAAATAGATGAATAAGTGACCTTACTGTACATAAAGGAATGAATGAATAAACAAAGAAACAATCCTCTCTTTCAGACCGTATTGCTCAGAATATCATCAAATCCCACTTGGAGACATGTCAGTACACAACAGAGGAGCTGCAGCAGCTAGCCTGGCAGACACACTCCTATGAAGAGGTCAAAATGTACCAGAGCAAGGTGAGGCTTTGTGTTATTATTATAGCTATTTTCAGCTACTCCTGCAATACTGGAGGTATAAAAGTGTGTCATTGTCCTGTTCAATGAATCAGTGGAACAGACAGACAAATGATGGAACAGACAAAGACGATTTGCTGATGATGTATTCGAGACAGAACCTTTAACCCTAAACCCTGGGTGTGTTTGGTTCTAGCCCCGGGACGTGCTGTGGCAGCAGTGTGCCATCCAGATCACCCATGCAATCCAGTACGTGGTGGAGTTCGCCAAGCGGATCTCAGGGTTCATGGAACTGTGCCAGAATGACCAGATCCTCCTGCTCAAGTCAGGTGAGTTGACCGGACGGACAATGACGGGTCAGGGAGATCTGACAATAATGTCTTGTGCCGCCTCTTTGTCAGAATATCACAGACTGTCTCTATGGTTCTTCCAGGTTGTTTGGAGGTAGTCTTGGTGCGGATGTGCAGGGCGTTCAACCCTCTCAACAACACTGTGCTTTTTGAAGGGAAGTACGGAGGCATGCAGATGTTTAAAGCTCTAGGTAAGACATTACTACCTATGCATTTCTTCTGGGTATACATGTCTGAAAAGGCCAATTTAAATTGAAAAAAAGGGGAGAAAATGTAAAACAAGAAAACGGAAAAATAAGTGTAATAACAATCTCTCTTTTTTGTCTGCCCTTCTCCGTCCTCTTCTCTGTTTCCCTCCAAGGTTGTGATGACTTAGTGAGTGCAGTGTTTGACTTTGCCAAGAGTTTGTGTTCGCTGCAGCTGACAGAGGAGGAGATTGCTCTGTTCTCAGCAGCTGTACTAATTTCCACAGGTCAGTGCACGTTCCCAAATATTATTAGAATAGAGGAAGTAAACTGCGTGCCTGCACTGAATCAAGGCACTTAACAGTAAGCAAAACAGGACACACTGTTTTGTGTCAAAGTCATTAAGCCGCATCAACTTTATGAGCAGCTCTCCAATTAACACGTGTCAACTCAAAACTATCAGCATTAAAAAATAAACGCTTCTTTCCTTTTTTATATTCAGATCGGCCGTGGCTGATGGAGCCTCGGAAAGTCCAGAAGCTCCAGGAGAAGATCTACTTTGCTCTGCAGCACATTATGCAGAAGAACCACATGGACGAAGACGCGTTGGCTAAGGTAAGCCAAGCTTTTGTAGTAATTTAAGTCATATCAAGGTAGACAAAAGGCATTGTTCTTAGACTAAAGGAACAGTCTTCTGGCCTCAAGGCAAAAAGCACAAGAAGCTCGACTCTTGCACAAAAAACTCTCTTTGAATCTTCCAAGTCTAAATTCCCTCGTCCTTGACTGTCTCTCCCTCTCGTCTTGCAGCTGATCAGTCGAATCCCAACGTTGTCAGCCCTGTGCACGCTCCATACCGAGGAGCTCCAGGCCTTCCAGCAGCTCCACCCAGAAACAGTCAACATCCTCTTCCCTCCGCTCTACAAAGAACTCTTCAACCCAGACCCCAATTCTGCCATGGCCATGCCCAAGTGACTGCCTGTGCAACAAACGGCGTCAGCGGAGGAACAAGAAAATGAGACCGCGGCCACGTCTGACGAGACGACAGTGGCTGTGTCGACCATGTCATCACCGTGGCAACCACATATTCCTGAGCTCCCCCAGCCTCATTTCAGGCTGGAGGGTGAGGAGTCATCTGCCAGAAACTTACAGTTACCGCCAACAACACTAGGAATGTCCAGCACTTATTCCATCCTGTTCACCGATACAGTCTGAAGAATGTATATATAAATGAAACGCGCCCCAAGCCACAACCTACGTGGGGCTTCCTCCTGTCTCCTGAACTGAACTGACTGACCAGAAATGTACAGACTTTAAAACCAATCTAGGAACAATTTTAAGCTGTCAATCTTTAAAAAAAAAATGGGTAAGTTAATTTGTTTTAACTTTGAAAAAAATCTTTTTTTTTTTTTTTTAATTTTGTTTTGGTTTTTTTTCACGTGAAGAAATTGTGAAATTGAAGAAGCTGGATGGGGGAGGGAACTGTGGATTTTAGAGAAGCTATTGTAGATATTCTTCTAGTGCAGAGCGGATTCCAGTATTACTTCTTGTTCTGTTAAAATAAGTTAGTCCTAATTTAAATATACAGCAGTCCACTGTGGCTGACTATACCGTGTCTATGTGTTTTTATTTTATTTGATAGTTTCTCGTGTACAGAATTTGTAAAGTTGAGACTTGTAAAAGAATATTGGGTAAAACCGGGAGTCGATTCGGGTTTTGTTGATATATAGAAGCCTTGTCTGGATTTTGTTCATATGTAAAGAAGGTACTGCATCCTTCTGATGAGAACTTATAGAATTGTAAAGAGAGCATATGAAGGATTTAAAAAGAAAAATAATGGGTACTACTTTTCAAGGTGAAGATATATACATAAATATTCTATTTTGCAAGTAAAAGAATCTGGCAGATTTGCCGTCCTATCAATCATTTTTTTCTCGCTGCAATAATTACGTCCAACAAAAGCTGGACTGCTTTCGAACAATCAACCACAAACAACCAATCAGAAGCTAGGACCTCACAATAAACCCCACCTCTTCCCAAATTCCCCCTCACCCCGCCCCTTATTTCTAGTGTATTAGGGCCTTGACGTGAGATTTCCGCAGACATAAGTGCATCGGAATCACAATGAAGAAGTGGATGAAAAATTCCACCAAAAATAAAAAGACAAGAAAATCAAGACAAACTTGACTTTAACTCACAACTTGCCAATCTTCAAAAACCTGTGTGAGTGCTGTACGCCCTCATCCCTCCCGTCACTATTTGCACAATCCAGTCCGTGGATGTCAATCACTCCAGGCTGTGAATATGAAGGACCCTTTTCTCTAAAGAGCAATAACTTTCACACTGCCTTTCTGATCTTACTCCTCTCTTTACCTTCTCCTCCTATTTTCAGCTGTTCAAAACAGGGTAGCGGTTTTAACAAGAATGCACTATATTTGACTCTTGATCATTAATTATGTCATTCATCTCTATGGATGGTACTCATTTCACCACAGACTCTGCAGTGTTTTCTAACGTGACACAACGTGAACTGGGGTTAGGACTTAACACAGATGCACTGATTGAAAGATGTGAAGAAATGCAGCCTTCAAGGATCTTTTAAAGCTACAATATTACATTGACAGGTCACACAGAAAGCTGTGATAGACAATCACTTTTTTTTGCTTTTTTTGTTAGTCATTCCGTAGTTATTAGCACTTAGCGATCATTGTTGCTGCTTTTTCTACATTAATGTTGTGTTGATTAGCACTTGGCCACTGTGTAAAATCTCACTGGGCATTTGTATCATCTGTGCATGTTGCTGAAGTCTTTTAGTAGTTACCACCACCTTGTGATAAATGGAGGAACAATGTGTATGCATTACTTTCGTAAAGAGATCTACGATGAGCTTTGACAAATCTCCAAGTACAACGAAAGAGCTTCATTTAAAGCTACTTACCCAAATAAGTGACCCCCAACACAATAATAGCACAAAATTCATCTTCAGTACAAAAATGACAATTGTGCTTTGTGGAACTGCACTTATACTTTTACCACAATTCAAATTACTATGATTAGTTGACCCTGATTTAGTGTTCTTGGAGATCGGTTAGGTTTATAGGTGAAGGTCTTCAACTTCACCTATAAGCTTGGACACAATCGAAGTCATTAACATGAAAAACCATTTAACCATTTTCATCCTCACACGCTGCGTCTCACCGATCCACTCACAAGATCCTTCCTTCGACCCCTGACCCCGACCCCAGATCAGAGGCCAGTGACTCTTAAGACAATCACTTGCTCAGTAAGGCTCGATGCACTACACAGCATCTCTCAGGGAGCAGCTCTTTTTCTGACTTTGCATCAAAAGAGGGTTTAATATTTTTGCAAATTTACAAAAAATGAATTATAAAAGAATAACTTTTTAGGATAAAAAAAAAAAAGGCATACGTCGCCAAACGTATGCAGGCAACGGAATCTGCCCAGACAAGGCTTTGATAAGTGTGTGTCTGTGTGTATGTGTGTATAGAGCATGAATTCACTGTCCAAATCTCTTTACAGCCCAGACTATATGACAAGCATTGTTACATAGCACATGGAGAAAAAACAAAAAAAAAGATATATACTGTATGTCGGTGTGCTCTTGTCACCACTGTGCACTCATGTTTACTGCTTATTTTGCTGCTTTTCGGGACAGTGAGGGAAGCCCACTAGTAAGCTGTGAATCAAGCGCCATCACAACATCCCTGGGACAGTGAATTCCAACTCTGAATATGAAGTTTTTGTGTGTGATGTTATTATTTTCCCTTGTTAGACTGTGAATCAGAGGGGTGGGATGGGGTTATGAGAGGGGATGTGCTGGCAAGAACGAGTGGCAACGCAACACTGTAAGTAAGATACTGTAGCAATAAGAACTGGAGGCATTTACTACTGTCATGTTTGCATTGTAAGATTATTTTTTATTTTATTACTATTTACTATTATTATTGTTCTTATTATGACTACTATTCTTCTATTACTATTAGCCTATTGTTGTTCTGTTCTATTTGCATGACGTTTCATTGCAATGAAACATTTGGGGCTTATTTGTGTTTTTCTCTTCTCATGATATTGTGAGTTTCGTGGGAGGGGGTTATTGGCAGGGTGGGCGATGGGTTTAGGGCAAATTCCACCTCAATTCAGTCAGTTCAAAGCAATTTTTTCACAAGCTGAAAGAATTTTTAAATAAAAATGCTCTTATTTATACACAACCAATTTAAAATTTGTTGTTCGATTTGAAATGATTTACATTTTTTTTCCCTCAACCTTTTGAATGTGTGAGTTGGTATAACCAGTCAGCGAACGGCCCTTTCTGAACTGGCCTTATTGAACCGGATCAGAGACCCTTAACCTGCAGAGGGAGGGAACGATGTGGGGAGGGGGGGGTAATCTATTCTGAATGTTATGGAGTAGCCTGTTCAGTGTGAGGGGCTGAACGCATCATGCGCCTTTACCACTCCATCAACACAGACTGACATCGCAGAGAGCGCACAATAAAACTAGTCGTCATTCTGTGTGACGGCTCGGACAAATTGCGCAAAACATTTTTAATACACTTGGTTTGAAATGCATTTCCTACACTTGGTCAAATACACTCCAGCCCAAACTTCCTCCTCCCTTTCCTGAGAAGACCTGTGTGTGTGTGTGTGTGTGTGTGTGTGTGTGTGTGTGTGTGTGTGTCTGAGAGAGAAACAGAGAGAATGAGATGATGTTTGCTCTACCAATGCTTTGTAAACTTTCTTGATGCATTACACATGCGTGCAATTGGAGTAGTGTTGAAAATTTGTTAAGTTATTGTTTAGAATGTCTTTGCATCCAAGCAAGAGCAAATAAAACAAAATGTAGCAATCTGTAACCGAAACCTAAAAGGTGCTTGGGCTTACAGAACCTCTTTTACACAGGACTAACAATACAAAACAAACAAAAAAATACAATAAAATGAGACTTTTTTTGTTTTTTGTTTTCAAAGTGCCATAGCTAGTGAGGAGAGGATTGGCAGAGTGGGGCGTAGATGCTTTACAGTGTGAGTTTACTTGAGAAACCAATCAAAAAAAAAGGGAACTCTACTCAAAATGTGTATTTGATTACACTGACAAAACGTTTTTACATTTTATGCTTTTTTCATTTGGTGAGAGGGGACTCTGCTGGACTCTGAACTCTGACTCTACAATAAATCCATGAGCTTTGCTGTAGATTTTTTTTTTATTATTTCCACATGAGAATGAGAGAGTGTGTGTGCGTGCGTGTGCATGCATTCGTTTGCATTAAAGAGAGCCACAAACACCCACATTTGATGGATCAGAATGGGTTGAAGTTCAGAGCTATGCAGGGCCCTTACTGAGTCCTCCTTTGAGATGTATATACAATGTGAAGGTCTGAAGTGATTTTTGTTAAATTCTATATTTTATCGCTTTTGTAGACATTTTGTTGTGGGAAGAAAAAAAATAAAAGAAATTTTATGGGTGCATTTCTGCCTCGATTTTCTGTTTTCACACATACACATTGTTAGATTTTAACTTTTTTTTATTTTAACCAAACATGGAACAATTTTACCCATAGTAAATTAATCCATGATGTAACAATGTTAGTTATAACAGTAATTTTCATTGTCTAAATATCAAAATATTTATAGTACAAAAAGTCCTATTATGATTTATCAAATACAGCTTAATAACATAAACTCTTTTTTAGAAGAATAATTTGCAACACTCCCTTCCTCCTGAAAATATTTACTTAATATAATGAAAAAATATATTAGCATCCTTTGAACAAATTACAGTAATTAAATCTCTAGTGTTACAGACTGCTCATGATAACAAATCACTTTTCTATCTCCCTGTTTCCACTGCGAAGGAATCCGAGATGACGCAGGACACCAAGACAGTATTTACTGAGAACATATGTGTGAGTGTGTGTTTTCAGGCAGACATGTCTCGGTACATGTGTTGGCGAAAAGTGCAAGTTTCTTTTTTTTCCCTACTTCCCAGGTCAAAGGTTACATCCCGGTTTCAACGTTCTCTTGTTCATCTTTCCCCGACGTCGACTACGCCTCGCTGCTGTCCGGACGCTTCCTTAAATCTGAACAACAGAAACATCAGTCAGCGACATGTCGCTCCAATAACACAGTCATTACCACAAGAAAGAGAATACTGACAGGCCTGGGAGGAAGTCCACGCATCCGGCATGAATAATTTGGTTTGATTTGTTGGAGAAATCTTGGAGAGGACACAAGAAGAGGAAGAGGAAACACAACGCACCTTTGAAATATCAAAACAACTGTGTCTGAATGTTTGTGTTTGTGTGTTTGTTTGCCGGGCTTGTTTGTTTTTGAGCACAGTTTCTTTCCGAGCAGTTATCCTCTAGATGCCGGTATCGTGCCTACCCAGAGACGTTAATTAATAGCTAATCAAAGCTAATGTCTCAGCAGCACATCGCCAGCACAAAGACATGATTAATATGTAATCAAAGGCCGTGGAGCACAACGCACAAAGCAGGGCCCACCCCCATGCCTCAAACACTACTGTTGTTATAGAAATAAACGAACACTCGTGGCTTAATTAGCTGGCTGTTGGTGTGTGTTGTCTTCATTTGAAGTTGTTGGGGATTTATCTCAGAGCCAACGTTGGCCTCCTGAGTGACGACACTGAGGTGACATACATGCATATACACACATGCATGACAAAAAAAAAATCTTTTGTATACACCAAGGGATGCAAATCGCATACTGGTTTAGACAATAAGCTGTATCCTTCAAGTATTTTAACAATGTTAACACGCACACATTCTCTCTCTCTCTCTCTCTCTCTCTCTCTCTCTCTCTCTCTCTCTCACACACACACACACACACACACACACACACACACTCACACACACAACACACACACACAGCTATGCTGAACATCTCTAACCTGTTAGGCCCAGTCTGCGGCAGCAGGCGCCACAAGAGTGTTTCTGCAGAAAACCTTTGATGGCGACATCTCCGAGGTTATCAGGACCAAAGAGCATCTCACCCCTGCTACCACTGAAACAGGGTCAGGCAGAGGTTTTATCTGTTCTACCAATGTATATTTTTATAGTATTTAAAGCTCTTAATTCAGAAGGGAAAGTTTTCTGAAACCAGATGTCAATAATAAAGTATCTCTGCTTACTGTACCTTTGATCGTCTGCCATAATGACCGTTGGATCGGTCAGAGCCTCTCCAACTCCTGTCAAGAAAAGAACACATAAACAAAGAAAGAAAGACAGGTAGGTAGATACAAACACCCAGACAGTAAAGGAATCTACCTTGTATATCGAGCACCAGAAGCTCCCTGCGTGAGTACTCATACGTCCAGTGGGAGAACGCCAGCAGCATTTCCTCCAGTGAACAGCAGGGGGGGATCTCTTCTCCTGTGTTGTTGTTATACTTCCTGAAGTCGCCACACATGTTCCTCTCAATGGTCAGGTACTGGCCGTTTGAATGCCAGAGGACCAGTGAGACATCTAGAAACCTGGTGGAGAGAAAAGACAATTGGTGAATGCACACACACACCAGATGCATGTATGAGAGAAAGCACACACACACACACATACCTTGGTGAGTAGTGCATATCCTCAGGTTTGATCTGGTTGAACACTTCCATCATCCGCTGGGCTGCCCTCTGCTGTTGGATCTCCTTCAAGCAGAGGTTTACCACAAACTTAAGCTAAAATTGTATGTGTATACATCCCCAGAAATGTCTTCAACTATTCAGTGCTTCCCTGTCTATGTGCACTTTGCTTTTTACAGGGTGTCTGCAGGTTTCCATAGGTTACATTTAAGACATTCTAAGACCGTATAAAATTATTATGAATGCACTTTCCTATTTTACTTTTAAAGTGCTAAAAAAGTAGGAAGGTTATGTAAGAAAACAGGTATTGGTTTTGTTTCGAAGTTGTTCGGGATGATCAATAAAATTTTTTCCCAAAAACACATTTAAAAGCAAGACTGAAATTAATTTCAATAATCAAATACATTTATAGTACATTTTAAGACATTTCAAGGCAGATATACTTACCCTTAAACAAAGCTGCAGTGCCGTGCTACCATGGAAATACCTCTGCCAGGCACGAACCACCTCCGGCCTGAAGGCTTTGACCACGTATACCAGACCAGGTCTGAGCACGTCCTGCTCTGCCCAGGTACACAGCACCCTGAGGCCCTGCCGGAGACCCCCATCCAGAGAGCCCTCTTCACTGGAGAGAGGCTGCAGCATGGCAGAGAGTCCTCGTGACGACCAGGAGGAGACTGTGCTGGATTCGGAGTCAGCTTCAGACGGAACTTCCTCCAGGGAGTAGATGCTCACCTCTTCACCTCCTGCAGAGAAAGAGGAAAACAGTAAATTAAGTGCATGGAAAGAAATAAGTTGACTGTGACACCAAACAAAAAAGTTACCCAGAATGGAGACAGGTGTGAAGGGAATGGTGTGAGCCAGTCTCATCAGGTTGTTTCTCTCCATAGCTGTTAGCACACAAACACAACACAGTCAGAACTATTCAGGAGCTAAAGTACAAGTATAATGACACATGGAATCTCAGGGAAACAGATGCACAATAAATTATTTGAGGTGGAAAAAGCTTTTGGGATCAAGTGCACCAAAAATGTTGATAGCGACAATTGACTCAACTTAATTTTAATACCTGAATAGTGCGGATACAAGTTGTCAGTGGACGGGAATGAGGAGCTCTTCACTGCAGCAGGCAAAACACAGGGGAAATTAAAATACAGGAACAGTGACTCTCACAATAATGAATAAATTAAGTATATAAACATATTTTATAGCAAATGTATCAGAACTGTATGTTCAGAAATACCTTCAGGGGCAATCCCACTTTGTAAACTGCAACAGAGACATCAAAATATTTTATATAATTATTAAAATCAAGTGTTTTGAAATTTGTGGATATTACTGCCAAAAGAAAGGCTGACTTACGAAGACCTACGGCTCATGGATCTGGCCCAGCTGTTCCATGCTGAATGAGGGGGGCTCCACACATCCTGAAGGCCAATTTCAATGCACATGTTATACAATCAATATATCTCGTCAATATTTACTCAATATTTCTATTGCTTCCAAAATTACTACAGTATACAGTTGGTGCATATTTATTTACCTGATGGGAAAACACTTGCTTCTGCAACAAATCCATTGGTTCAAAATCTGAAACAATATTGATATTTCTTAAATCTGAACAACACAACTTACACTGTACACTTTTATTTCGAATTTCAAGAAGATCAAGATAAAATGATTATTGTGTCGTTGTTGCATTTCACAATGATGCTCTCATTTTGTCTGGTGTTATAAGTCCAGCACACCCGTTTCCTTTACAGTGGAATGCTTTTGCCCGTCCCTAAAGGCCCAAACTCACTCTCAACCAGGCCATGGCATGTTTAGTTCAGCTCAAGGCAAAAGGAACGAGAGCTTTTAGTCAACAAGAAAAGTAAAACCAATTTATTATTTGGAAACACTTTGGTTAACATGAGTCTGAGTTTGATAAACATGATGTTACCAATGTCAATCAGCAAATCATGTTAAATAATCGTGATCTCTCAGCCCTAATACATTGCACATTTTAAAAAAAGGACTTACTGAGCTGACTGAGGCTGGCTGAAGCTGACCAACATGTAGGTTCTCCTCTCAGTCTCCGGCACCTTCTCCAGCAGGCATCAGACATGTGGGACTGCATGGTTACCAGTTTTCCAAGTAAAGAGAAACAATCAGCAGGGTTTCAGTTTTATGATCCATGCGTTTATCAGTGCATTACTGAGCCATTATGGAGAAATTTGCCATGAAAAAAGTAAATGTATGTGTGTCACATTACAGTATCTGGACTGCTCTCCTGTATCTTCACAGTCTTCCTGTTCTGGTTCTTGCCTCTGCTGTCTGCCTGAGCGAAGTCAGAGGACTTTGACCACTCTGCAGAAACAGAAACACACATGATCTGTTAGAAAGTGTGCACAATAACACAAAAGTAAATACAGTGTAAAAAAGAAAACATAAAGTACACCAAGATTGTTATGAGCTAATGCATATTCTTTTGTTTTAAAGCATCCACTAGTAAATAATTTAATTTCTACCTCTGCATCGCAGCGATGTGTCCTCCCTAAAACTCCTCCCACCAGCCAAACTCTCTTTGTTCATTGCCTCATTAAGAGAAGAAAATGATCCCCTCATTGGACTGAGGGGTGCCCCAGAGAAAGTCATGTTCTCCACGCTGGATGACAGAGACCTGCAGTGGCCGTAGGGACGGTCTCTGGACAGACACGCCCACCTGGGGGACTTCACAGGTTTTACCCATTGGCTGGAAGGTCTGGACCGAGGACTTGGTAGGCTGTCATCCTGAGAAAAGGCAGGATTTACTAAACCCTCAGAGACGTCTCGAGGGTCAGAGAGAAGGACAGCATTGCTAGAAGATCTGGATATGTTAATATTAGACAGCTGTTCCTGTGACCTTTCCTCGTCTCCCTCTTTCTCTTCTGCTTCTTCTTCTTCTTCATCCTCTTCTTCTTCCTCTGCCTCCTCTTCCATGGAAGTTTCCTCCTGACTGGGATACAGGTATGGGTCACATGTCCAGAGTTTGTGATGTGGTGACTCCATGCCTCTGGAAGACAGAGGAGACCCACAGCGGGATGGTCCACAGAACTCACAGGGCGTCTGTCGGCATCTAGAAACTCCCAGCCAGTTCTCACAGGGATGGTCAACAGAAGCAGACTAGGGTGAAAAAAGTGTGTTAAACAAACTATTTATTATTAGTTCTGTTAGTGTTAGATATTAAAATTATCATATTCCCTGTAAGAAAATTCTCTTTGGCTTGTTTTGCAACATCCTCATTTTCTTTCACTTCCTACAGCTGCTGTTATAATAAAATGACAACATTAAAAGAAAACCATAAGTACCTCTTTTGCTCCTTCGTCTTCCTCCTCAGTGTGTCCTGGTCTTCCTCCCCTGCTCCCCCTGGCTCCGACATGGCACTCCTGTGATACCAATCTACTCGCCTTCTGAGTATAGCCCTTCAGCAAAGAAGGCGGGGTACTTTTGCACGACTTGGCCATCACTCGCCGCATATTAAGTACATCACAGTCTGCTCCACTTCTGTGTGGGGGGGTCCAGCTGTGAGGGAGCATGTGCCGGGACGCTGTGATGGGTCGACACTGAGCCAGTCGCGTCTCTTCCTGATGTAGGCTGTCAGAAGCGGAGAGCAGAGTGAGGGTGTCCACAGCCAGCGCCGAAAGGTCCTGGAGTTGACCCAGCTGACCGTCCAACTCTGACAGGCTGTCCTGAATGAAGTTGACCTTCTCTGAGACCTCCCCCACCATCATGCACATCTCCTCCGCTCTAGTGGAACAAACATTAATAAAAAACACTGTTCAAATGTGTTTTGTCTACTTATGTTATCCCAAATGTTTAAAAAAATGTCAGAAGCTGTCATAAACGGACTTTTTATCCAGTTTTAGGCCATATTTTTATGATAATCTTTTTAGATCTTGTTTTTTTAACTATATATTTTAATCTGATGAGTGATTTTACTTATCGGATGTCTGGATCTTAAGTTATCTGAGGCTGAACAGCGTCACCGTCAACTGCTTTCTTCTGTGTTTTTACCGATATTAATCAGCGGGTTCGTTTGTTTGGGAGAAGAGGAGACTGCAGTGGTGGCAAACTCCCATGATCCCACGCTACTTCATGACATCATCATACTTTGTCTGTTGTTATTGTTTTGATGTGAGAAACCCCCAAGAGGCAGACAAATATTCAACACAGTTAACTTTAAGCTCATACCAATGTCATGATGTCAATCTTTTTAAAGCGACATTTTTTTTGACATTTTGTATTATACTGCATGTCACATGTAAATGAAGAGTCAAGCAAACACACACAGAGGACTGAAGCCTGTGTTTGTAGGACAGGAATACATACTCACTAGAAGAAATCTAATCAATATTGATACCATAATTCACATGCACTTAACTTATTTATGACTAATCAGTCAGAAAACAGGGGTCCTTTTTGGACAGACATATGAGTTCACTGAGAATCAGCTGCATCAACTTAAATACCTCATTATCCATTACCCTCATAAGCTAATGAGGGGAAAATATAACAAAAGGAGCCATTGTGGGTGTTATAGTACGAGGAATGTTTTGGTTCTGGCACCGGACACACACTTATTATAGAAACTATTCACTACACTTCACTAAAATCAACTTGTACAGGGCAACAGAGTTCATGCAGTATATCTTTAATCCAGACATTCTTTTCAGTTACATCATATAGAGCCCCCAGTCCTTAATGTCTCCATCCAAGCTCACTGTTTATGTAAGCATTAACTCTGAAATGTCTACAACACTGACTTCATCCTGTGCAAGGACCCAAGTGAAATCTAAAAGGCCAGTTAGCAATTGTGATTTTGCCGGAGAGGGAACGGGCCGTGGTGCAGCAGGAACACACAAGAGCTGGAGGGTCATCCTCTCAGATAAAACAAGTTGAGAAGCGTCACTATAATTCTACATCCTACACGGCCGGCTTATAAGAATCAATTAGAATATCAATCCAACCTCTCAGCTGTGGCTCTGATCCTGTTAATGTGACTGCCGTGGAGCCCTTCACTCTTCTCGTGGAAGTAGGCCTCTACACATTTCTCCTCAAACTCGTGGAGCTTCTTGCAATCCTCATGGCCCAGGAAGAGCTCTGGTAAGGACAGGAGGGATTTTATTAATAGACTCATGCTGTGAAGTGACTGTCAGATCTGTACAAATAACTCCTGAGTTAGTTTTCCATCCACACACGTACAGCGTGGTACTTACTAAGTCCAGAGCATCTCTCCTCCCGCTCAGCACCTCCACTACATCTCCTGTAGATGGCTCTCAAACCTAGGGTCATGTGACTGAGGAGGATGAGGGGCGGGGGCAGCCACGGCCTATCCTGATAAGTCATTATGTAGCGATAGCGGTTGTATTTCCACAGCTTATTAGATGTCGATGCCATGTCAAAGTAGATGTTGCTGTTAATGAGAAGGCAACAATAAAAGTTATCTTAATTTGGGGTCATGCACTGTAACAAATAAATGTGATTTTTCTTTTTTAATAAACGTGCTTACTTAAAAAATGCAATGAGAATGTTGACCATGATGATGTACTGGAAGAACATATAGACAGCCTGGAGGAAGGGCGTGAGGAAGGAAGCAGGAGGACATGGAATACCATCGTCACACACTGTTAAAACACACAAACACCATTATCAAAAATATTATTATTAATAATAATAATAATAATAACATATCATTCTCAATATTCACCATATATATATATTCAGATTTAGCAGTGGTTTTCAATCTGTTGTCCAGGGACCAACAAGAGTCATTACATCGGTTGTATGGGATCCCCAGCAAAAAGAGGAAGAGGATATTTTTACTTTTATCAAATTTTTTAGATGTTGGAACAAGGAAAGAAATAGGATAGGCCGCTTTGATTGATTATTACTTATAGTGATCCCAGTTTGTCAATATCATTAATTAACTATGAAGACTTTTTTCATCTGTAAACCTAAAATAAAAAATTACTCAGAGGAGATTCCTTATGACAAAATCCTCTCAAAATTGGGGGTCTGTTGTCCAATGGTGCATCTATTATGGGGGTCCTTGACAAGAAAAAGCTTGGGAACTCTGCTTCAACTGCTGCATTAGTTAAAGTTATCAGACTCCTGACACAATGAGCATAATCACCTCATTCACCGCTAGCCTTCAAATAAATAACACACATTGTAATACAAAGGTCAGTCAAGCAAGTGTCACTTGAAATGAGGTGAGACTGAATGAGCTAAATTTTAATCCAGTTCCATGACTAACCTTGCTTTAACAATGTTTTGGAGCACCTGATCTATCTATTCTATTCATGTGGCAGAGGATAAGTGGCAAGTTGACCTTGCAGTTAAGCACCTCTACCAAGAAAACTCAAGGCAACATCAAATTCATCAAGGTAAAGTCTGCTGCTTTAAATCAACACTGTTTAATAAGTATCTAATGTTTTCTACTGAACCACAAACCATCTATTTCCGCTGCATAGACCTCTCCGTAGATCATCCAGTAGGGTTGGAAGACTGCATCACGAGCTAGGCTCCAGGACGGATCCTCATTTGGTGACAGGATGGCCTTCCTGGACACCCCGAAGCTCAGCAGCACTATAGCCATCATCACCACTATGAAGAACATGTTGCTGGTCTGAGCAGACACAGAGAGAGGAGGGAGGGGTGACTAAAGAAACGCTTTCCCACCTTCTTCCTCTCCAAAAAGTAATGTACAGTCTCTACCCACCATCTTAGTGATCATGGTGAGGTAGGGGCCAGCATGCTGATTGACAGCCAGCAGATCCATCACCCTGACGAACCAGAAGATGATGTCCAGGCAGTAACTGATGCGTCCTGCCGTCTGGAATGGATCAGCATGCCAACGCATTACCAGTCCAGCCAGGAAGAGGAGGATGGCAATGAAATCTGATATGTTCCAGTACTCTGAGAACCAAATCTTCAGCTTCTGGCTCAGCTTCCTCGGCTCGGACATTAGTACCTAATTACGAGGTATAAAGTGGGATATTTTTTAAGCTGCATTGATCTATCAACTGAGATTCCTACGTAATGTATTATGTACTTTTATTTTATCTTCAGTATGAGACTTTTTTTAGCAACATTTTCTTCAGAAAATGCATACAACAATGAGCATAAGTTGTTAAATAATTACAATGGAGAGAATACAAATAAATAAGAGAACATGTCTCTCTCTCTCTCTGGCACTCTCACCTCTCTGGTTTTCTCCACTGCAGTGGACAAGATGTACGCTATAACCAGCCACTCCTGAACACTGGGTTTATCCCCCATCTTCACCAGGACCACGTAGGAAAATAACATCAGAAAGGCCAAGTAGGACATCTACAGATGGAAAAAGGTTTAAAGAGAGACGTGGAGCAATTATAAAAACATACACTGCCTTTCAAAAGTTTGGAATCACTCAGAAAATGTCTGATTTTCCATGAAGTCATACATTTGTGCTTTAATTACAACCCTGCAGATCTTCTAGCTGTCAATTCAATGTCATTGTCAACGAAATCTTCAGAAACGTCACCCTAAACTTCCTGTACTTTATTTTAACCACATGGTCAAAGGTGCTCCCACAACATCTCGATAGACAATTGATTGTCACGTTTCTAAAGAAATTTCTTTATTTCTGTTCATTTTGAGACCATAAACCTGCAGACTGTGCCTCAGATGCTCTATTAGCCCAAAGAAGGCCAGTTTTATTAAACAAGACAGTTCTCAGCTGTGCTAACGTGATGATGATGAGTCTTGGTTGTTGAAAATCTGATTTCCCAACAATAGACGAGACTATATTTCTGATTAATTTAAAATTATTTCCATTAAAAAGTGTATTTCGGGGCGCCCGGTTGGCTCAGTGGGTGGAGCTGGCAACCCATGTACCGGGGCTCAGTCCTTGCTGCAGCGGCCCAGGGTTTGAATCCGACCTGCGGCCCTTTGCTGCGTGTCATCCCCTCTCTCTGCCCCCCTTTCCTGTCTGTCTGAAGCTGTCCTATCAAATAAAGGGAATAAAAGCCCAAAAAATACTTTTTTTAAAAAAAGTGTATTTCTTCCAAAACAGTGATTCCTCAGTGTCGATGAATACTGTACCACACATGCGATCAAATAAGCAGGTACATTCAGTCCAAACAAAACTATTTTACATCTATCCACAAACATAACAACATGCACACGACCTACTGTGTGAAACCAGAACTTGACAACAGGAGCTGTGTAGAATTCATACAGTCTTGTGATCCAGGACAGACAATGCACGGTCACAGAGGATACGGTGTCTGACACAGGACCAAGACATTTCTCATGGAACGACAGGCCTCGCTCTGCATCCTGGCTGCCCTGTGAGAGTAGAGTAGGACAGGAGAAGAGATTGGAAGGGGAGACAAGAGAAGTATGATGCTATGGTTAATCAGGATTCCAGTTCTAGTTTGAAACCAGTGCTGGATACGTGCTCTACTGGCACTTTACCGTCTGATCAGTTCCCTCATGGGCTGGAACTGACTTCACAGCGTCAAGCCCAAACAGCATTGCCTCATGGGACTGTGGGACATGGCACATTTCAGCTTTGCTTTTGAACTCCAGTAGCAGGATGGCAGGGGGCAGAAGAAGGCTCAAAATAATCTGAGAGAAAGAGATAACAAGTGTGTTTTAAATACTTTGAATCAAATCACTCATCGTAAGAGTGTGAAAGGGACGCTCGGAGTGCTGAACCCGCTGAGAATTCTGTTAATTTAGTTCATAATGAATTTTTATAGTGATAAAAATACATCACATATTAAGACTTACAATCAGAGACTTTACGGGTGCAATGCATTTAAACATAACGTGAATTTTATTTGGTTTATCTGACGTTGTTTACCTTCAAAAATGAGTTTTTCCTCATGTTGAGCGGACCGGTCCAGAGATCTGTGAGGAGGGTCTGGGTGCAGGAGTGTGAGACGAATGGTCTATGACATGAGGAGACAGCCATCTGCAGACAGGTGAAGTGGCTCCATGCCTCCATCTCTGAAGTCAACAGCTTCATGGCCATCTGCTCGTTCTGACGAAATGCACAGTCTAACATATCCACCGCCAGCTGACCAAACTCACTGTGACACAGAGACGGGACTCACATGCAATCATATGCAGGTTTTTATAGAAGCAACTGCACAAAGTCTGTAATAATTTAAAAAGATATAAAAGATACAAACATACAAAACAAAGATCCAGAAGTGCCACAAAAAAAGTAAAACACCCAAATTGATTAAGGACACAACACAGGATCAGACTGAACCATAATTAATGTAATTGTCCCCATATGTTGATGCATATACACTCACAGTGAATATGTCTTTAATCGCTCTGCAATGTTGTCGTCCATACTGCTCTGCCGTGCCTCAAAGGCCATGGAGCGGTAAAGCTTACAGGCCACGGTGGCACGTGCCAGCGCCTCCTCGCCGTGCTGCCACAGGAACAGTGCCATCTGCTGACGCTGGTGAAGCACGGCCCACACGAACAGGTCGTTGAAGTTGAAGGGAGCCAGCAGTGTGGCATCACCAAGGCCGGGTTGATGCCCCGCTGCTGGCTCGACAACTCGACTGCTCCCAGGTGACTCATCTTGCTCCTAGATGGAAAAGGTAGAGGTGTGGACAAAAGAATCCACAAGGGAAGTGAAAAAAGGGAGGCAGAAGGGAAATAGAACAGATTTATAATGTACAAAATAAATGTTTGTACAAGGCTATTATAAAGATGTTAGGGCTGCCTTAGAGATCCAAAAATGATGTATAAATCCCCCACCAACCTTATGTTTGTAGGGCTGAGCAGTTCTAAAAAACTGCAGGTCCTGGAGACTCCTGACCCTGCTAGAGTTTGGCATTAATCCCCGTCTATGTCTAGACAAGGAGGTGGAGCTGTCCCGTCTACCCTCCTAGAGAGCGTGTTATTTGTAAGAAGGATGAGGCATAATTACATAATTACAATAACATTTATGAAAACACAGTGGGAGTTTTAACTATGGATGCTCACTTTGTCCCGCAGGCGGCTGTAGGCAGTTCTGAAGAGTTTACGTGTGTAGGTACTGCGGTACGCTTCGCCTATGAGGTACTCTATGACCAGGCCCATGTCAATGAGAGAAAGACGGTGACCTATGGGAAGAGAAGTCTACACACACACACACATACACACATGGCTACAGTAAATACGTCATATACTATATAAATGTAGAAAAGACTGCTGCAGTACATTTAAAAAAATAGCAGTATCTATATATACCTATAGTGTAAATAAATGCAGCTCAACTCAATACCTGAGTAAAGGCCAATAAAATCTGAGTAAACAGTGTTGTCTATAGTGTAACTCACCTGTTTTGCATCTTCAACGAGGTGGTGGAGGAAGCGGCCTGTCTGTCCCTGCGGCTGTGGAGAGAGATTTGTCTTATTATTGAGAGAGTAGACAAGTAAACAGAAAATAACAACCAAATCAGAGCAAAAAAAAAATAAAAATCAAATACTTTTTAACACAGTTGCATATTGCATATAAAGTAGCAGCTCTGGGACCCTTAGCTCGTTTCTAAGGGGGACTTTTTATCCCAGAGTTATGAATAAATAAACAGGCTTTAATACACAAAAGACAAAGGCAGTGTGGTGGAAGCCAAGTGTGAGTGTACTGATGATTAAAAAGTCTTGTGATCTCAAAAGCATCCTGAAACAACAACTGGGGAAACACCCTGAATGCGACTGACCAGGAAACACAGAGAATATTGGTGCAAAACACTTACAGTGAATTATAGGGATTTCAATCAAAGACACAGTTTTGGAATTTAACAAAGAATTGAAATCCTTCTGTTTGTTTAGCAAAGAGAGAGCCAAGGGGAACAAAAGGGGAAATAGTACAAAGACAAACAAAAGTACTTCTTTTATTTACGTCAAGATAAGATAAGCCTTTATTGAGGGGAAGTCCAGGTGTTCACAAGGACAGGAATAATAATAATTAATGAATCTAATAATTCATGAGTAAATATGAAATTGTGAGTGTCACAAACATTAGAAGCAGATAATAAATGTGTCTTAATAACCGTGTTGTAGAGCTCCTCGAGGCGGTCCACAGTGAGGAAGCGGTTCATCGTCATGCCGTTGTCAATCAGCAGTTTGACAAAACTGACTCGATCCATCACCAGGGCATCCAGCATGGCCTGCTCCAAGGAACCCACCTACATACAGCACACATTATCTTATGTTATATATTATATTACTTGTGTGCAATAATAGCATAGTGACTCATTCAAGCCCCTTTTATACATCCTGTTCAAGGCTGGAATCTTGCAGTGTTATTCTGTCTTGGCGTTCTGTATAAATCATATAAACACAGAATGCGGGGCATTGTTGTTCTGCTGTTAAGCTGACAGCGGAGGTAGCAACAGAGCCGAATTGATGTCGGCAGGATGGGACTGGGGTGCGATTTAAAAAGCAGCTAGAAACACGTTGCTCCCACAAATCCGCCATTGTTCTCAGCGTGTTGCATAAGATGCACAGAAACTTGAGAACCTGAGTGGCATATAATGTGCACAGGTAGCAAAAGCACCTCAACACTCAGGCTTCAGTCTCACCTGCCAATGCTGTCTGTACACCAGGACATCTTTCTGTGCAATGTCAGCTCTGTCCCAGGCCAGGGCCATACTCAGCTGCTCTGCAGGACTGGCCTTAGTGCCTGTTCATCACACACAATTAAAAACATAAAACAGAACTATAACACACCGTTTGTCACGATTGGCATTTTGACTTGTCATAGCAGGAAAAGCTCAGGTCAAACATTAGAGATTGTAGCTCTATTCAAGTCTTGCCGGTAAGTCGGCCCGGAACTTCAGCAATTGTTAAAGTTATTATTTACACCTGTGGTTTTCCTGCTATGACATGTCGAAATGCGTGCTGTGAAAAATTCCTACTGTCACAGCCAAGAGGAGACAAAAAAAAAAGTACCCTTGAGAGTAGTTGTCAAAATGGCTGCATCAGGCGCCATCTGGTCCTCTGACTCTGAGTCAAAGATGGTTATCTGTTGTTCAAAGACATGTTGAAGCAGTGTGAGCAATCCACGTGTTAAAGCATAACACACACGTTCCCAAATGGTGTTTAACTTACAGACTGTCTGTGATCCATACACTGCTGGAGGACATCGTACAGCTGAGAGGCTTCTTCTCTCTCTACTCCAAACACATTTCCAATCCTGACAAGGAAGTCCTCTTTAATGTCAGGATCCAACTGCCTATGCAGTGAAGATGTAAGTTAGATCTGTGACATGTCTGCTCACGTAGGTAATACAGAAAATAAAGAGGTGTTTCCAGACTTTTTGGACTGGAGGGGGGGGGGCACTGATTTATGTAGGTGTGACATGAAGTATGTGTCTCAGCTTTCCAGACATTCCCAATTTATGTAATTCCAATACTGTTTATGGACCCCAGTATGCAGGAGTATTCAAACAAACAAGGCAAAAATAAAAGACAAAGTGGGCGTGTCTGCAAAGGAGAGACTCATGGGTACACATAGAACCCATTTTCATTCAGATATCTTGAGGTCAAAGCTCAATAGATCCCTCCAAAAAATGGCCATACCAGTTTTTCTATCGTATAGCATGACATGGTTGGTGCCAATGGATGCGTTAGGTACCAGTATTTTCTTTAAAACAGAGCCCGCTACGGCCTCTGAAAGACAGTATGGACTGGTAGAGGTACTAAACTAAACACGTAGTTTCATTTTACACAATTAAGGAAATTCACTAATGTAAAGATGCAAACCTGTCAACAGAAGTCTGCTTGTGTAAGAACGCGAGCAGGTCAGCAGCCCTGCCCGATCCCTCAAACACAAACACTGGCACAGGGGGCACAGTGCTAACATAGTCCAGCACTGTGGACACAATGGCAGGGCCTCCCTCCACCACCACACACACCACAGGCACTCCTTGGTTCAATCCTACAAAGAGTGGAGGAGAAAGAGATGTTACACATCAGTCACACATCAAGCCCCTCAGCTTTTCTCAGTTCCTGTATGACTCACGAGGGTGTATCTTCTGTAGTCGGATGTGTTTCTCCAGCTTCTTCCTCAGGCCTTGCTGGCAGCCATGTTTTCCCAGCGTTCCATCATCCACCAGCAGAAAGTGGGAGTGGAAACCATTAAGACAGGCCCTCTTGCTCAAAGGGTTCCCCAGTGGCTGGTAGTGCCTGAACACCTGAACCACGTCGAGTGAACCAGAAGTCAGTCATAGTGAAACAAAACATTAGGATGTGTTATAAAAAGATTTTAGCACTCACATCTCTGCCTATAAGGTCTGTGTTGTTGTCAATGACTCCCCATGGCGTGATGCCGACTGTGTTTCTCTTCCTCAGGTCGTGGCCCCCAAATGTTTTCACTGCCTCGCCCACATACTTAGACACACCTAGAGAGTATGTAAACAACAGCTGAACACACAGCAAATATACAATTCAACGGGTCACTTAAGAAAGGCATAAAACACCATCTTACTGTGTAACTAAATAAATTCTTCTGCACTGCAAACAAAGGGACACAGCACGCCGCTACGCCCCACAGATTAGAGACCCGAGGGACACTGAGAATGAATGAAGTCCTTACGAATTAACAGACCTACTTGAGTTCACACTAGAGTTATTATAGTTTTGTATTTTTCATTATTTTTTTGTCATTTCTGTCTTCTTTTTTTGTCATCTTCAGTTTTTTGTCTCATTTTTAAATTTTGTTTTCTATTCAGTTTAGTTTCAGTTAGTTTCCAGAGTGGGTTTTACTTGTTTCAGTTTAGTTTTTATTGTATAAAGTGTTTAATTTTTACAAGTTTCAATATTAGTTTTTGTTTTTTTTATCGTAATATTTAGGTTATATGTCAGGGGCGAGATTTAAAGCGTCCATAATAGGTATTACAATACAAACATTGCACTTTATTATGAAGACATCCCAGTACCAATAAACATATACACCCACGCCGCCTCAGACTAAAATGTGAGACATTTCCTGTATATCTTTATTTCATTTTAGGTCATTTTTAAGTACACAATATCATTTCAGTTGGTTTTTGCTCTTTTTAGACTCTAGTTTTTTATCTTAATCTTAGTTAAAGTCCGCCTCCACTCAAAGTTGTGCTTTTTTTCTTGTTCCTGCAGTTGGATGTTTGAGCTTCACTCTGCAGAATGATGTATGTGCATTATGCAACTTATACATGTGCATAAACACTGAGAACGGACTTTACAGGGAAGTAGGAGACATCTTGTGTCCAGCAAGAAAACATTAGAAATTAGCTAAATTTGCATATTCATAGATTCTTCAGTCTTTAATGAGGTAGTAGGAGTAGATGTCTTTTTAATGATTTTAATGTGGAAATTATACATTCTTTGTGGAAAAAACAAATCAGACGCAAATTATTGTTCCAAGCAGACCATCTAATACACGCCTGGAGGGCATCTCTAACAGAAATGTTTTTCTCACACCCAGTTTTAGCTTTTAGTTTTTAGTCTAGTTAGCTATAAGCTAACTATAACCTGGGTTCACACAGCACAAGAAAATGAACAGTATTATAGCAGCATGGCGCACGGAAATGTTCTTTAGCCATTTCACACTAAGAGTAATAAGAAATACTGACTACCATTTGTAACACCTACCTGTATTGATGCCATCAGTGAGTATCCAGGCCCCTGTGCTGAGGGCAGCAGTCATCAGCCCTTTGCTGAAGGCCTGCTTGATTTTAGGAGGCAGGGTGAAGTTTTCCGAGCCTCCCTGGACGGTGAGCAGTAGCTTCGGTCTCTCCATCTGCCACTCTCTCAGCATCAGTTGGAGCAGCACCTCCGGCTTTGAGTCCACAGCCACACGAACAAACTGGACAGGAAAAATAAGGAACTGTAAGAGACTGAGAGGCTCTCTGTGCTTTTCTAAAGCAGTACAGTACAGTTTTGTTATTACATGTATCACAGCATAACAAACCTAAGCTTCTTTATACAATATCAAAAGCCTAATGTCGGTGTGGTTCAGCTCCTGGAGAAGCATTTACCTTCATTTTTAGAGTAATCCCTTGTAGAAAAGCGTTTTTTACTTTGGCCTACATACACATACTGTACAGTTAGTCGGCTCACTGACCGTGGCCCGGCAGACACGGGTGGCAGTGTCCTGAAAGTCAATGGTCCCGTAGGCATCGGTGGGGCTGGCTTTGGTGTGGAGCTCGATGGACCAGTCCTCTTCCACGTCCTGTCCAGGAGCAGGATGGAGGGATATCGGGGGATGGGACTCTTGCCAAGAGTGCTCCCCGATCAGGCGGCCACAACAACATCTGGACAATGGAAAGATTATAATTGAGAATATTTCTTAATTTAAAGAGGAGCCAAGAATGGCACTGAAGGCTCTTCTCGATGGAAAAGATGTTCCCGCTCTTGGCTTCAGTGAGAGTTTGACTACCTTATATGGTAGACGGTAGATAAAGTGAGTTTAAGTATTTCTTGAAAGCGCCTGCCCTTTTCCAAACAGTTTCTCAGATGGTTCTGTGCAACAAACCATCAGGCGCAGTCAGGCTAGCTGGAGAAACGTGGCAGTTCATCCCTCTGTAGATATAAAGTGTTCATTCTAAGGTAACAAAAACACGATTATTATTTTCTCCACTAAATGTTAAACACTGGGCCTTTAAGACAGGCTACAACCACTGTCCCCTTTTCCTGTATTCCTCCCTTCCTCTTTACCTCCCTTTGTCCTTGGGTCTACATTTCTGTGTGTGTGATTGTGTTCATCATTTCTCAGCCCTACAAAATCCACACACATCTCTCTCTGTATAAAAAGACCTTGGATTTATTACTCTCCTTGAGTCAGGCTGTGACACATGAAATAATTAGTTCATTTCTAAACTAGGAGAGACAGGAGAGAAACAATGAGAGAGCGGGGGGGGGGGACTAAAGGGTGTGGGAAAAAGTGACACAAATATTGACATAATAATAAAAACGCCCGCTTTGACTGCAATAGGGGAGGAGTGGGGGTGTAGGAGGGGAATGCACTGGGTTTCAGGAGGGTATCAACACACACATCAACACAGAATTCATAAATTATACCTGATCAGGTTTTGGCATACTTGACATACTGGCGTGCATCTGTAAGAAACAGGAAATAACACATTATCAAAGAATCCACATGGTCTCTATTCCTGGAAGGAAGGGCTCAGTGCCAAATAGTTTTGCTCTCTGAAAAATGTTGTTTCCAACCACTGCTGTTAATATTATACTATGCACTAACTAAACAAACCATCCCTGTATTTCTTCTGAGAATCGTAAAAAAAAACTTGTACTTGTACAGTTTCTGGAAGCTCATCAGTGCAATCAGGTTTTTTACCTGTGTAGATCCCGAGAGGAGGGGATAAACTTCACACACTCTCTCTTGAAGAAGGTTTCCTCAATCCAAGACTTTCGTGACTGGAATGAGAAAAGAATATATATTTACTTCCAGTAAAAACAGATCCCGAAGCTTCTTCTTCTTCTTCTTCTAAGATCTCAACTGTATTATCAAACTCATCCTCCAGCAAGAAAACACACTATTCCTGAAAACAAATTGAAATCAGTGACCTTCTCAGTGAAGCTCATTGCAGAGCCGGCAGCAGCCTGCCTGCTGGACCCAGGGAGCTAACTGCAGATCCCGCCCCGTCCAAAAAGAAAAAACCTGAACTGCACTCATAAAAAATAACACTGACGGGATGTGAGATATAACTTCGCATTCAACTTCAGAGCACTCTTTTCTTCATACTTCCCCTGATCTTTCAAAGTCTGGCTTCCCCCCTGTGCTCCGTTGCCCAGACAAATTTAACAATGGCCTTACTGAGCGGAGCATTGTTGGTAGGAAAAATACACACATCCCCTTCCTGAGATTAGTACACATGGCCGGGAGTTGGTGTGCTCCCTCACTGGGTAAGGCTGTGTAAACCCCAAACAAGGTTCTGGAGTGGAGCTGCCCAGTGTTTTTACAATAAATATATTTCTTTATAGACAATAAACCGCACTAGTGCTGCCACAGATCAACTCAAAGCACTTTGCTCTATATGGGTATTTATACATTTATTCATGTAGTTAGTGGGTGTTAATATTATTCCGTAATTAAAGAGGTGGGCAAACATGTGAAGCAGTTCTCTATTATTAGCATCCTTGGTAATTATTTAGACAACATATTGCATTGTATATGACGTTAATCTCACTTTTTTCACAATAAACACGGTGTAACACGGCGCTGCTTGAAAGTAAATGAACCTACTGAGCAGTTTTCTATTGTTTTACCATTATTTCTTTATTTAAGGAAGAAGCAGTATGTTTTGTATGAAATAACAGTCGTATGTTTATTATTTCCTTTTACTCCTTTTAAGGAAATCAATTGTGTAGTGAAAAGATTTAATTAAAAAGACATTATTGTAAACTTTTGTAGGAGCAAAAGCTTAAAATGAGCAGGTAAAATATAATCAGGTGGCACAAAATTGACTAAATTAACTGCAATTATTTCGATAAATGTAAAATATGTGACAAAAAGCATTATGATATAAGTACTGGTGTGCTGCAGAGATAACCTGGTCTACAAACCTTTTTCTCCAGATTAAAGAAAACATGTTTGTTATTAGATTTAAAAAAATTCCCTTATAAAATTTAATTTGTGATGCAGAAAAGACCATTCTCACACTAATTGTGAATCATACTGCAATATCTGTCAACATAATTCCAATATGATGTCTTATTGCATTGTATATGACATTAATCTCAATTTCTACCACTTTTTGTACAAGATGTTCAGTACCTTGAATAACTGCAGATTCACATGAGTGACATTGTTTTTGTTGACTAACCTGGTTGCAATGCAATTGTATTATGTTTATCTAATTATTATCTGGTAGTAACGTTGACCGACAATCAAATAAGAGTTAAATATCTTGTATAAGACTTACATGTTCCCACTGAGATGCGGTGGAGTTTAAGTATTAAGTTTCAAAGTACCAGTATCAGAGCTAAACTTTTATTTAGCTAGTTAAAATGAGGTCACAATAAAGTTAATAAAGCACTCATTATCCCCAATTAAATACTTTATGAATGTAGTACGCTGCAGAATTAATATATAACTCAATTATAGTGTGTGCTGGAGACGATATTTAATTACAAAGTCGAGTAAAACTGTGTTTACAAACCTGACTTGTTAAAATTAGCTGACATTAGCTGTGTGCTAACAACAGCAGTGTTAAATAAGTTGTATCATGAGTTATAATAGTCAAAAATAGCTCCAACAGAAACAAGCTGACCTCTTCAGTATATTTAGGTACTAAGTATTAAGTTATACACAACTTACCATGGCTGAACAGTGCAGATAAAAACATGTTCACTGGAGTAAAATCCTTCCACTTCATCATCTGAGACCTGACAAGGACTGACTGCCCTTTTATCAGCTGTGGGTCCAAAGTGCAGAGAGAGCCTTTCCAAGAAGCCTTGAGGAGTTCATGACCTCCTCCTTCAAACACACTGAGGACTGTCCACCCCCCACCCCTAAGCTCTGAGCTGTCAATAAATACTGGAGGTGCTATTATAACCCCCCCCAACCTGCTCCTAGTTAACAGGCAGACAGCTGGGGGAATTGGTAATTGGTGAAAGTGGACAAGACAGGTGATAAAAATGTAAATTAATCCGTTTTTTTTTGTATTTAACAAATCTATCTTAACATCACATCCAAGAAATAATGTAGGTATCAGGACTGAGCGTTGAGTTTGGCCTTCAGAAGACTCAACTGCTGTTTCTTTCTTATTGATAATGTGAAATGCCCCAATTTCTTTAGAGGTGAGAATGTGTTATAGTAACAAGACTGAGTAAAAAAAACCTGTGGAAGCAACTAAAATGTGTGTATTTAAACTAATATATTGAGTTTCCAATGAAATAATTATCCAATGTCACCAGGGGGGCTCCGTAGTAATAAGAGTCACAAAATAAAAAAACATAAGCTTTGTGAAAGATTATATTACATGTTTAGTTCAGTGAGAGAGGCTAAAAACGTATTTTTTCAGTGTTGTAGGTAGTTTTTATTATTTTTTTTAATAGGAGTTCTTCTTATTGCAAAGTGCAAGACACTTTTCTTAATAATATAATGTGTTTTACAGATAGTTTTCATGCATATTTATGTCCTGGAGATGGAAAAAAGGGACTGATTTGGTGGAACAGCCCCTATATTGTAGAGTTATTTGCTACATTTCTCTCTAAATTTAGATTTTTGTAGCTTCTTGTCACAGAATATATTTAATTTAAACTTCTGAACTAAAAAAAAAAATTTAATATTTTTAAATAAACCAAAATAAAATTAAAAAAATCACACAGGAGTCAAGACGAGACGAAAACAAGCAGCTGTGCAACAATAACATGCAATAAAAGTTATTACAGAACGCACTAAAGCCTTTCATTTGGTGTAAAAATGTATATTTATTTATATAGAGAGCTACAACTCTGTCAAACCCCCTACAAACAACAAAAGTTACACCAAACAACAGTCTGAAGAACACTGCTATGTACAGACCCAATTTCTTTAACAACAGAGGTCTGCAAGGCAGGGAATCTGCACCGAACACAACTTTAGGAGTAAACTATCTACAGTTTGAGGATGGATGGGCAACCCCTTCAGAGAGGGTTACAATAACACGTCGGTCCCCCTCTGTAAGAACAGGATTGAAGATCTCTTCCTTTACGTCACACAAGTCGTTGAGATCTTGCACCAACATGAGGCTCACTACTACAGCCTGTGTCACTCTGACGGAGCTTAACTTTTGCTTCCGCATCTCAACCTGGATGCAACCTCAAAAAGGTGCTCTTGACCCATCTATCTGCTGAAAAGCATCACGTGTCAGGACGGAGTGAAAACGCCTTTTATCTTCAGGTCTCCATGGCGTAGGAAGAAGAAGAAGGGTCTTTGACTTTTGCTTTGTCTTTGGTTTGGGAACCGTCGCTGGGGTCTTCGAGCAGTGAAAGGTCGAGTTCAGGTAAGGGAGTCCTCCAGTACTGGAAGGAGTTGTAAGAGTCGTCTTCGGCGTTGGTGTCTTCTTCAGCCTGAGGGTGAAAAGGAAGAGAGAGAAGGGAACAATAACATTTTAGTCTGGGCTGGTTTGGTCTGTGAACTCTGGGATGACACTTTATTAATCTTTTATTGTTTTTTTTTTAACTTTTTCATGCATTTGCCGGGACACATCTCTTAACCTCGAACAGAAAAACTCAATATCAAGAGTGGATAAAGTTATTTTATTCCTGTATTTATGTGTTTTTATTACTATGTGTAGTTGTGAATGTGTGGCTTGTTTTTAATTGCTACTGTGGCAGAAACAATTGCCCCACAGGGACAAAACAAGGTCTTTATGTGGGACTGCTCCCCATTTGTATCCATCACATATTGAGACAAGGTCCCCAATTCTGATTGGCTCTAGTTTCCAAAAGTTAAATCACCTCAGGACAGGTGCTTTTCTAAAATCTGGGTTTCATCCAGAGGCTGTGAAGGCTTACTGTATTTACTTAGTGTGGAAGTTGGTAAAGTTGCATTCAAATAAAATGTGTTAAGTCCTAAACGTGTCAGCATCATCTATTGTTTGCTACTGAGGGCAAAGAATAGAGATATTATGTGATAAGGGAACAGAACAGAAATGCTTATTTCTTAAATTAGATCATGGGGATGCACGATATGTATTTATTTTTCATTTTACAACCAATATGATAATCAATAATTACCTGCTTTTCATGGTAGATGCCGATAAGATAACTGATAATTCCCCATTTTAGTATTTTAAAAAGAAATTAACCCGTAGTTTTTACACAGGTAACAAAGGACAAGATGTTGCAAGCAAAGAGTAACTATTGTTTACTATTGTAAATACACCAAAAACAAATGTTCATTCATGTTTTCTATCAAAACCATCACAAACATACTTTGGCTTTCATAAAACTTGAAGCCTATCAGACATTTTGTATACAAATTCAAAATAAATTATTATTATGGGCCGATAATTTATGTGGCTGTAATTTAATTATCAGCCGATAATGAATCTGCCCTGATAATTATCGTGTATTACTATTAGATAGGCATTTTAAAATGTTATACTACTCCTCAGCATTAGTAACATGTCCCTCACAAACAAAAACTTTATCCCACATTTGGTTTTTTAGGCATCTGGTCATCCAAACTTTAACTAAATCAGAGCCATATTTCTCCCAGAGAGAGAGATTTTTACAGGAAGTTATACATTATACATTCACAATATAATATAAATACATAAATATAATAAAAAGAGCTTTACATTGACAACATAGGAGCTATAGAGTGGATAAAGGGTGACATCTAGTGGACATTTACTGCCACTACACCCACTCACTTTCTCTGAACAGCCTCATTGTGACTCCCCCCCCCACATTATCAATAACTTACTTTATCATTAGCTTTAGAGGCAGCAGTCTCCGAGCTCGTGCTGCCCTCTCGAGTCCGTTTCTTGGAGCTCGTGGGCGCGCTCGAGCCGCGACGCTCGTGGAAACTTCCAGAAAAAGTCTGCACCGTCAAAACAGTCGCAGCATGCTTCCTAGTGTCGCAGTTTGTGGCCTTGCGGAACGGAGCTGCTCCTTCTTCTTCCTCCGGTTCCTCGAAGTAGTGCGGCCTCTTCCTGGAGCGGCTGCCCAGCAGAGCCAGCAGGGACGGCGGGCTCACACCCCCGGTCGGAGCCATGATGCTTCCCAGCTGCATGTCAACACTGCAGACCGAGCGGTGGCATCTTTTGGAGGGAGAGTCGTGCAGCAGGGTGTCCTCTGCGCGCCTCTTCGCCATTAATGTGAGCTGTGTGCGCGCACTGGTGCACCGAAACTTTAAAATAAAAGAGTAAAAAGTTTAAAAACAAAAAAAAACACGTGGTTTTTGTCGCTTTTGTTGCTTTTCGCTACCTGATGCTGAGAGTTGGTGCGTTCAGGTGCAGTCAGAGAGCAGGAAGTAAGATTACTGTGAGGCATTCGGGTAACCAATCAGAGAGAGCAGCGCTGTTAGTACCCGCCCACCGCCTCCTCTCTTCCTTTGGCGGGTACATTCATGCAGACCATAAACATATAAAGGAACACATTTTCATAAAACTGTAAATTAAAATGTATTCCTTAAAATTAATCAGTAAGTTTAAAAAAATGTAATTTAAATTTAAATAACACCTGTTTTGTCACCAATGCAACACAAATATATGAAGCACTAGAAGTGCAAAAATTAAATAAATAAATACACCATTAAATAATTACTTGAACGTGTCATTAATTAAATACATAAATGTGTTATTAAATGTGTCATTAATTCATTAAAATACAGATTCATAATAATAATAATGGATTGCTGCAGAGCGAGTGAACACATTCCAATACAATGGGTGGCGCTGTTCACCTCTCCGTTGGTTTAGATACTCTATATTAAACAAAACTTTAATTGCAACTGCTAAAAATCAAGGGGAAGACTGCCTCCGATTCGGCACTTAAGGGGAAAGTTAAGGGGAAATTAACTTATTGTGCAGTGTGACTGTTTGTCCACTGATTGTCTGTTTTTTGTGACACTTCTTGATGTGAAAACGTTTTAGACATTTTAGGTAAGACATCAGCTTTGCCTGACACCTACGATTGTATCTGTGAAACTTTTATTTTATTTGTGAAAATGCTAAAGGAGAGATTTCACCGTTTTTGTTTTACACCAAGATCTCATTAGACCAGGTCCAGATCAAAAACCACTGCACCTAGACCTCTCAAATCTGGACTGGATTGATGTACAGACCCTGAAGATTCAAAAAACATAGTCTCTGATTTGAAACCTTTCTATTTGTGAAAAACAATAAAGACAACATCTTTTTCTACCATTAGACCAGGTCAGATCCAAAACCACTGCACCCCAAATTATAGACCCTGAAGATTCATAAAAAACACAGTCTCTGATTTGTGAAACCTTTATTGAAAATAAAGGGACAAACATTCTTTGAAAATCTTTTCTTTCATGTCAAACCCTGTCTCTCCATCTCATTTTGAATGGACATGAAAATGTCTTCTTTCTCACTACAAAACAGTAAAAAAAGTAAAAAGGTTATGTTTATCTCTTGAGAAACATTAAACACATCTTCATCGACTGCTCAATTGGGAAACATCCAATAAAAGTCATGATTTGCACTTACCTTTCCTCCATCTGGCCGTCACCGTCAGTTTGCAGATCTCTTCCATAGCCTTTATTGTTGCCTGTGTTAGAATCACTTTTGCTATTATTTATCATTTGAACAAAACAATTACAGTAATTATCACAATTATGAATACCTGATTGATTAAAATAGTTTGTTGGCTTTACTAACATCTGCCATCATTTCAGACCCTGTTCTTGTTCTCCCAGCCACCAGTTGTCCTCTTTGTGTTCCTCCCTTTCCTCATCACCTGACCAACTACCGACCTACAGACATGATACTGACCCTACCCGATTGTCCATAGTTTAAAAATATTAAGATGACGACCCACGACCTGGAACCTGCAAAGGAAAGCAGAGAAGCAGAAAACAAAGAGGCACCTTGACACAACGTTATAAAAGCAGAGGTGAGGCCATAAAAACTTAAAAGAACGAAAATTGCTGACTTTTTTTTACTGACTCTGTGCCTTTTCAACAACTTCTCCATGTAAAAAGATTTGAGAGGTCTAGGTGCAGTGGTTTTGGATCTGGACCTGGTCTAATGCGGTCTATATGCAGAAAAAAGTGTGAAATGTGTCTTTATTGCATTTTCACAAATAGAATAAAGGTTTCACAAATCAGAGACTGTGTTTTTATGAATCTTCAGGGTCTGTACATCAATCCAGTCCAGATTTGAGAGGTCTAGGTGCAGTGGTTTTGGATCTGGACCTGGTCTAATGCGGTCTATATGCAGAAAAAAGTGTGAAATGTGTCTTTATTGCATTTTCACAAATAGAATAAAGGTTTCACAAATCAGAGACTGTGTTTTTATGAATCTTCAGGGTCTGTACATCAATCCAGTCCAGATTTGAGAGGTCTAGGTGCAGTGGTTTTGGATCTGGACCTGGTCTAATGCGGTCTATATGCAGAAAAAAGTGTGAAATGTGTCTTTATTGCATTTTCACAAATAGAATAAAGGTTTCACAAATCAGAGACTGTGTTTTTATGAATCTTCAGGGTCTGTACATCAATCCAGTCCAGATTTGAGAGGTCTAGGTGCAGTGGTTTTGGATCTGGACCTTGTCCAAAGTGGTCTATGTGCTAAAAAAGTGTGAAATGTGTCTTTATTGCATTTTCACAAATAGAATAAAGGTTTCACAAATCAGAGGCTGTGTTTTTATGAATCTTCAGGGTCTGTACATCAATCCAGTCCAGATTTGAGAGGTCTAGGTGCAGTGGTTTTGGATCTGGACCTTTCCAAAGTGGTCTATGTGCTGAAAAAGTGTGAAATGTGTCTTTATTGCATTTTCACAAATAGAATAAAGGTTTCACAAATCAGAGACTGTGTTTTTATGAATCTTCAGGGTCTGTACATCAATCCAGTCCAGATTTGAGAGGTCTAGGTGCAGTGGTTTTGGATCTGGACCTGGTCTAATGCGGTCTATATGCAGAAAAAAGTGTGAAATGTGTCTTTATTGCATTTTCACAAATAGAATAAAGGTTTCACAAATCAGAGACTGTGTTTTTATGAATCTTCAGGGTCTGTACATCAATCCAGTCCAGATTTGAGAGGTCTAGGTGCAGTGGTTTGGATCTGGACCTTGTCCAAAGTGGTCTATGTGCTAAAAAAGTGTGAAATGTGTCTTTATTGCATTTTCACAAATAGAATAAAGGTTTCACAAATCAGAGACTGTGTTTTTATGAATCTTCAGGGTCTGTACATCAATCCAGTCCAGATTTGAGAGGTCTAGGTGCAGTGGTTTTGGATCTGGACCTGGTCTAATGCGGTCTATATGCAGAAAAAGTGTGAAATGTGTCTTTATTGCATTTTCACAAATAGAATAAAGGTTTCACAAATCAGAGACTGTGTTTTTATGAATCTTCAGGGTCTGTACATCAATCCAGTCCAGATTTGAGAGGTCTAGGTGCAGTGGTTTTGGATCTGGACCTTGTCCAAAGTGGTCTATGTGCTAAAAAAAGTGTGAAATGTGTCTTTATTGCATTTTCACAAATAGAATAAAGGTTTCACAAATCAGAGACTGTGTTTTTATGAATCTTCAGGGTCTGTACATCAATCCAGTCCAGATTTGAGAGGTCTAGGTGCAGTGGTTTTGGATCTGGACCTGGTCTAATGCGGTCTATATGCAGAAAAAAGTGTGAAATGTGTCTTTATTGCATTTCACAAATAGAATAAAGGTTTCACAAATCAGAGACTGTGTTTTTATGAATCTTCAGGGTCTGTACATCAATCCAGTCCAGATTTGAGAGGTCTAGGTGCAGTGGTTTTGGATCTGGACCTGGTCTAATGCGGTCTATATGCAGAAAAAAGTGTGAAATGTGTCTTTATTGCATTTTCACAAATAGAATAAAGGTTTCACAAATCAGAGACTGTGTTTTTATGAATCTTCAGGGTCTGTACGTCAATCCAGTCCAGATTTGAGAGGTCTAGGTGCAGTGGTTTTGGATCTGGACCTTGTCCAAAGTGGTCTATGTGCTGAAAAAAGTGTGAAATGTGTCTTTATTGCATTTTCACAAATAGAATAAAGGTTTCACAAATCAGAGACTGTGTTTTTATGAATCTTCAGGGTCTGTACATCAATCCAGTCCAGATTTGAGAGGTCTAGGTGCAGTGGTTTTGGATCTGGACCTTGTCCAAAGTGGTCTATGTGCTGAAAAAAGTGTGAAATGTGTCTTTATTGCATTTTCACAAATAGAATAAAGGTTTCACAAATCAGAGACTGTGTTTTTATGAATCTTCAGGGTCTGTACATCAATCCAGTCCAGATTTGAGAGGTCTAGGTGCAGTGGTTTTGGATCTGGACCTTTTCCAAAGTGGTCTATGTGCTGAAAAAAGTGTGAAATGTGTCTTTATTGCATTTTCACAAATAGAATAAAGGTTTCACAAATCAGAGACTGTGTTTTTATGAATCTTCAGGGTCTGTACATCAATCCAGTCCAGATTTGAGAGGTCTAGGTGCAGTGGTTTTGGATCTGGACCTTTTCCAAAGTGGTCTATGTGCTGAAAAAAGTGTGAAATGTGTCTTTATTGCATTTTCACAAATAGAATAAAGGTTTCACAAATCAGAGACTGTGTTTTTATGAATCTTCAGGGTCTGTACATCAATCCAGTCCAGATTTGAGAGGTCTAGGTGCAGTGGTTTTGGATCTGGACCTTTTCCAAAGTGGTCTATGTGCTGAAAAAGGTGAAATGTGTCTTTATTGCATTTTCACAAATAGAATAAAGGTTTCACAAATCAGAGACTGTGTTTTTATGAATCTTCAGGGTCTGTACGTCAATCCAGTCCAGATTTGAGAGGTCTAGGTGCAGTGGTTTTGGATCTGGACCTGGTCTAATGCGGTCTATATGCAGAAAAAGTGTGAAATGTGTCTTTATTGCATTTTCACAAATAGAATAAAGGTTTCACAAATCAGAGACTGTGTTTTTATGAATCTTCAGGGTCTGTACATCAATCCAGTCCAGATTTGAGAGGTCTAGGTACACTGGTCTAATGAGGTCTTGGTGTAAAACAAAAACGGTGAAATCTCCCCTTTAGCATTTTCACAAATAAAATAAAAGTTTCACAGATACAATCGTAGGTGTCAGGCAAAGCTGATGTCTTACCTAAAATGTCTAAAACGTTTTCACATCAAGAAGTGTCACAAAAAACAGACAATCAGTGGACAAACAGTCACACTGCACAATAAGTTAATTTCCCCTTAACTTTCCCCTTAAGTGCCGAATCAGAGGCTGGCGAATCGGAAGCCAACTTCAGCGTCGTGTCCTTGCAAGCCCCAGTGTTGAGACAGCGTGCGAGGTGCAGGACACAATGTCTAAAAGTTGCTCGGAGCTGCTGAGAGAAGCAGCGAACTCGACTGAGGAAGCTGTGAGCAGAACTCGTCCGGCTCCGGCGGCTCAGTCACAGCAGATACCTGCCGCTCCATCACTTACACCTGTCCAAGGTAAGCTTAGTAATTTCATGTTAGCCGGGTGTGCTACTAATCAATAACTTGGGCCACAGGTGTGGGTTGAATAAGATCGGATCGAAAACGTATTTGTATGCGGTAGAACAAAAACACACACAGATTATTCTAGAAACACACACACAAAAAAAAAAGCAAACACCTGTTCAGTGAAATCCAGTCACTCAAATTTAGTGGTCGTGGGATATTAATTATGAACTATGAAACAACATTTTAATATGTTTTGAATTAAGTGAAATTATAGAAAAATTGAAAAATGAATATGGCAAAAGAGAAAGGTTGAATATTTACAGCAGTATGTATGTTAGGAAATTCCACATTTAGATGAAAAACAGATTAAGGTAGATGGTTACTTTTGTATATAAGATTTTCTTTTCTTTCAGAGTTGAATACAGAGTTAAAAAATTACATTTATTTCAGTTGCACACATTTCCCAGCATAGCTGTTCCTTATTTGGTTTTATATAAGGTTTTCATACATTTTAAAAGGGTACTACTATTATTATGGCAGTAGTGAAATTCAATCCACCTAAACACTCCTATTTATGATAAGAGTTTGACCATTTGATATATGCATCCTACAAAACGTCACAATCTAAAGTTGCGCAACTTGTTATTGGCTCTTTCATTATACTTTTTACCAATGTAACTTGGAATCCTACCTGCAAAGACGATCAAACAACACATTGCATATCTTTTCACTTATTTTGTCAGAAAAAGGAGAATCACAAATAATTTCAGAAATAATATTTTTGGTTTGAGACTGTAATGTACCTTTAAACTGGCACTACTCTTTATTTTAAGAAAAGGAAAGGAAGACATGTTCCATTGTTTGGAACAGTTGTAGTATCACCAGGAGGGGGCGAATGAGGTGTACAGTGATTTTGGTGGCACTACAGTTCAAAATAGTTGAGTTATTGATTATTTATCAATAAAAATTCCCCCAAAATATACAAGAATGTTTTATTGATACAATAACAGTTGTAGTATCACCAGGAGGGTGTAAATGATGTGTACAGTGATTTTGTTGAGGCTACAATATATGAGTACAGTTATTGAATATCTTTTGTGATATCTCTTTTCGTTTTTGAAAATTGTTGACAGTCCCTGCACTCTTGTCTCACAGCCGGTTGTACATAGAGATCAATGTTATTCGAGTAGTCTTTTGTTTAGCTGACCAAAAGGCAGATGAAATTCTCCTCCATAGAGAGTGGGGATGACACGCAGCAAAGGGCCATAGGTCGGCTTTGAACCCTGAGCCGCTGCAGCAAGGACTCAGCGTTGGTACATGGGGCAGCAGCTCTACCGGGTGTTGTAGGAGCTTGGTCAGGAGCAGGTCAGAGGAGAGGAGAAAGAGAAGTGGAGAAACACAACGTCTGCGACAAAAATATTCTATCATCCAACTCACCATTTTCTTCAAAACATGATTATGATTTCTAGTTAATTCATATAAATATAAACTTCTATCTTCTATTTTTTGCTAAGTACAATGTTACTTTGTACTTGTAGTACTTGTTAAGAAGTTGTTGTGCCTTAGAATGACTAGGACATTTGGGGCCCGTTTCAGAAAGCAGGTTCAACAAACTCTGAGTTAAAACCTTAACTGTAGGTTGACCAACTCTGAGCTGTCAAACTCTTTTCGGTTTTAGAACACGTGATAACACTTAGTTCAATCAACTCTGAGTCAAGGTAACCCAGAGTGAAGCCCGTGCATTAGGATATAAAAAGCCTTCATCAATGGAACACAGATAACATGATTCACCATGGCAACAAGTGATAAAAAGCCTCAATCCTCCTACTTCTCCCCAGTGGAGTTGGAAATATTAATGACCCCATATTCAGAAAGTGAGCATATTTAAAAAAACAAAAGCAATACTGTGGCAGCAGCAAAAGAGCGGGAGCTCGCATGGCAGAAAATTGCTGATCGAGTCAATGCGTGAGTATTAACTGGAGAAAAAAAAGAAATATTTTGTCTTGAATGTTCCACTTATTCAACAATTATAGGGTGCAACCCAACAGGCACCAAACGGACTTGGCAGCATCTAAAGATGAAATATGGAAATGTAGTTCAAACAGGTAAGGTATAATTAAAGTACAAGCAATTGTGATGTTGTTTAGCCTGCCCTCATTAAACAGCATTTAGTGGCTACATTCAACATGTGATAGATATATTTTAGTAATTAGGGAAATCTGCTAAACAAAGAAAAATCCCAACACTGCCAGTATTTAATATTGTCTATGAAAGCAACACCTAAATGCCTTTTATACATAAAAGTCTCCAAATTTGTGTTTTCTGGATATGATATTAAATTTGACCTCCATTATAGCCAACAGAAAAAAGGCTGAGGCCCGCAAAACAGGTTGCAGTCCACCACCACCACCTCTCACAGAGGCTGAAGAGATGGCCCTCAGTCAGAACAGTGGGCGACCCATTATTGAGGGCATCTCTGGGGGGAGCTCATCGGACCCAGCCACACCCCAGGACACAGGGACCTACATAAGAGGTAAGTTATTCAAATGAATGGCATGTACATTAATCCTTTTTCTAGTGTTCGCTCAGTAATGGCCACCCATTCATCTTAGACACAACTTGGCACACTGATTTTTCTTGTAGCAGGAGGCTATAGTTCTTTGTAATTGGCTGCTGTTGCTTTCAGATATCAATCTATTTTAAGGTGACTCAGAGTTCATCGGGGTCAGGGTAAGGGGTCAGCAGATAGCGCTGGCAGGGGTACCCTCTGTCTCCGAGTAGGTAACCATCGAACTCTCCTATGATAATACAAGATACAGTTTACTGTTTCAGTTGCAATAGGAGGAAACAAAATATTGATCATAGGCTATAGCTGTATACTGTATATAAACTCACCACAGGCAAATCTGGCACTCAGTGTAGATGCACAGAGCCAGGCCACTTCGCTTCCACATTGTTTATCATGTGGGCTGCATCACATATGATCTTCACAGTGGAGAACAGTAACTAGCTGTATAGTGAAGTATATTTCATTTGGAACGTTAAAGGCTACTATTTAGGCCTACGTGTACATTAATGCTGTGGACAGATCTCCTATTCACATAATCTCATTCATTTATGCTATGATAGGAATGTGAGTGCCATCTGTGTAGCCAATCACACCTGGAAACCCTCAAATATATCAAATTGACTGATTAGTGCTTCAAGTCTCAAAGCTTTATGACATAAATTAATTATTGCTTAAGACGGATACCTGCAATTCTGTGGAACTCTTCTTTGAGAAGTCTGGTGGGTCTGTGACTTGGGAACACTACAAATGTGTATAGTAGCCGTTTTAGTGCAAGTGTCACATTTCGGACAGCCCGACAGACAGTTGCCTTGGACACATGCTCTGCATCACCGATGTTATACAAAAAACTGCCGTTGGCAAAAAACGAAGTGCAATACAAAGAATTTGCTCGGAACTGAGAGCGTGTCCACGATGTGTCATGTGAACGATGTGAGGGCTGAGAATATTGTTTAGATAAATTATTAATGATAATTATTAATGATGCAGAGAAATGGAAACGCTCAAACAGGTACTCATCAGGGAATGATAAAACATTCAATCGGGGTCTAATAATCCTCTCCCGACGGAGATTTCTGCGGAGTATCTGCACCTCGACATCAACTGGCTCTTCAAAAAAAGGACAGGCCATGTCTGCCACTGCCTTCAGTCTGCAGGCTTCAACTCAGGGTTAGTAGAAGAAAACCTGCCAGCGAGCAGGTTAGGTTCACAGAGTATGTTGCCAGGGTAACTGACTCAGAGTTAAGCTGAACTGGCTTTGTGAAACCGAAAAACCAGAGTTTCCCTCATCTCAGGGTTAACTAACTCAGAGTTTTCACTAAACCTGCTTTCTGAGACGGGCCCCAGGTCTAGTTATGTGCTTGTTTTGGCTGCGTGGCTTGTTTTCCAGAGATTCTGTGGTTTCTGCTGTTTGGGATTTGTGCCTCCTTGTGCAGCTTAGGTGTGTTGTTTTTGTCCTTGTTTGTTCTCTCCTTGGGAGGTTATTTGTTGGGATCCAAAGTGAAGGTCAGGAAATTTGTGGGGTTTCCTACTCACACGTCACCGTTCACCACACTCTACAGCTTAATAACCCTTTTTTGATACTTACATTTAGTTTATTTGGTTCAATAAAATATATTTTATTAAGACTTTATTGTAGCGTTGTTGTGGCCAAAGAGCCAGATAATAACAGTGACCAAGTTTGGTCCTACACTGGCTCCAAACAAGGATGTTTGCTTTCGTCCTTATTATTTATCCTCTACATAACTACGTGTCAGAGCAGGTGGGAAATAGGACCATATTAAAGTATACAGATTACTCTGTTATTGTTAGTCAGCTCCAGGACAATGAGAGGCCCAGCCCAGTTATCGACAACAATGCCAAATGGTGTGAGGACTCCTATCTTCATTAAATATATCTAAAACCAAAGACATGATAATTGATTTTAGAAGACATGCCTGAAGTCATGGACTCATATCCATCAGGGGCCAGACAGTGGAATGTGGGTAAATCAGATCAAAAACTCAAAACTAAACTTTAATTAAATTGTGAAGCTGTGTGCAAAACGTGCAAAAAACAACTTTTATTTAACACGTCGCTGTCTCAACAGACAACACGCAACAACTTTGTACGTCTCTGGCTCTCGCTCTGAGTGGACTCTCTTTGCAGTAGAGTCCAGCACACTACTGCAAAATAAAGGGTCGAGTGATCACACAATGAGCAGCAGCTGAGTGCAAACCACACCCACCTCCTCATACATATATCTATAATAATGGTGTACTAACTTCTCCCTGTTAAAAACCCACAAGTCTGTGCACAAACAAACTGGAACTGTTATGTTGACCTAATGTGAGTGTGTGTGTTTCATTGTCGGAAATGTGATTGAAGGTTGTCTATTAAAGACTAAAGGCACTTGGGCGGTGAGGTAGCTGGTGCAGGAGAGGTAGGTGGCAGGCAAGCTGGCTCAGTACAGATAGGCTAAGGCTACAGGCTCACAAATCCAAGGCTAACTGACCACAAGGCAGGCAGACTGTTAGCAGGGCAGGGGCTTAAAGGTTGTATGCTAGCAGGCTGAGGTGCAGACTGAACACTTAACTGCGTGCCACAGTCAAGACAAGTGGGTGATGGGAGATGGCTGAGCGTGGCTGGGCAGGAACGAAGGCAAGGGTGTGAATGTGGCTGGTTGCAGAGGTGCAGGGATTGCAGGCAGACAAGCAAGGCGAGGTTGAGGACACATCCAAACTACACACAGACAGGTGGTTACACAAAGCTTTCGTGCAGTGTGTAGTCATCAACTCTCTCTGCTGTTTTTTTCTTCTACTCTGCTCAACTCTGTGTGTGAGAGTTGGAACAGCCCTGCTTGCTGCAGAGTTTCACCTTGTTACTTGTGGTTAGAGGAGGGAGTGATCCGACACAACTCAGGTAAAGGCTGCACTAAAGCACCAAACCAGACAGTGGATAGTCAAATTAATCAATTATCTAAATTACAAACATGTTCTGAGGACATAAAATCCTGGACGAGCTGCAATTTTCTGATGTTAAACAAACAAAATTCTTGTACTTGGCCCCAAAAACCTCAGAGACTAAAGATATAGTTACTCTAGGTTCTCAAACTTTATTTCTTATAATCCTCATGCCGATTAAACATATGTTTACTTGCATTTGTAATCCTAGATGCCATAGGAATTTTTTTTTTTTTAAACTTTAAGTTAAAGTCAAAGGTGAGTTTCATAGAAATGAACTTAAACAAATTAAATATGAATAATTAAATGTTGTTAATGTACTTTTAAACACAGGGTCGTTTTTATTCAGATTACATTTTGACCTCACAGAGGTCTAATTTTCAAGTAACAGATCAACAGAACAGAAAATGAACGGTAACCAGACTGGCAAAGTCCTAATGAACACAGTTAATTTTTCAAGTGTCATGGCTAAAGCGCTTTGAGGGATTACATAAAACCAACAATTGAAAAATCAACACATTCTCGAGGAAAAGGAACAAATATTTACATGGTAAGGCCATTCGAGCCTTGTAAGGATGACATATTTTCAAATGACTATAAATATGGACATTACAAACCTTTACTACTGGTTGTCTCTATTGACATTAACCTGAAGAATCATCAGTTTCTGTCCATCTATCACAAGAGAATGTAAAACACTGAAAAGGGAATGTCAACATAAAGATACTGTTTATGACCTTTAGATCTGCGGGTGATCTTACCAGACATGTTTTCTCTACCTGTGTAAGACTGGCAAAGTCCTAATGAACCCAGTTAAAAGCTTACTTAAGTGGTTTAACGATAACATAATGAACTTATTGCCCCTTATTCAAATTATTGGCAGAAAACTGAACAACATCATAACAGTTTTAGTAATTAAGCCTAGTCATAAATATTTGCATTAGGCTCTATCAAAGTCTTATAACACACAAATCAATTAGTGAGAAGGATGAGCCTGTCTCTCACAACATCGTTTATCTATTCTTGGAGACATTGGACTCCACACTGCCAGACTTTCACCAGTTTGTAAGCTGCCCCACCAGGAAGAACAGGACATTAGACCTCCTGTATGCCAACGTAACGGGAGCTTACACTGCCACTCGTTTGCCCCCACTGGGAAAGTCTGACCATAACCTGGTCCTGCTCACGCCACAGTACAAACCACAGATCCAGAGACAGACCACGAACAAACGCTCCTTCAGGAAATGGTCTCCTGAGGCTCTGAGGGACTGCTTTGAATGTACTGACTGGAGCGTCCTGCAGGAAGCACATGGTGAGCACATCGAGGGGGTCACACACTGCACTACTGACTACCTGAACTTCTGTATGGACGTTGTGGTCCCCATAACAGAAGTTGCAGCATAATAACATGAGGGAGGTCTGGGATGGCATGAAAACCATCACAGGCTGCAGGAAGAAGGGCAACATCACAGGAGAGGGGGATGCTGGAAGAGCAAACCAGCTAAACCTGTTTTTTGAGGTTTGCCCTTATTAAGACACACTGTTGTTGGCTCACCAGCAGTCAAAAAGTGTGACCAACCTAAGCTCTACTCATGCCCATCATCTTTGCCCATTTTTGAATAGGAGCCGTCAGAGTCAGGATTGCCAAGGGTGACAGTCAAAGCGGACCACACTGAGCTCTTCAAAAAGAAGGAAGAACAGAAGGTTTTGCATACATGTTTGCATAGTTTTTTTTCCCTACTGCAGCTTCACAAAGACTATAAGTGGAACAGACTGTGCCTTCTAGATCTTAGTGCAGATGCATAGTTGCCATGCTTGGCATGGGTGTGAATGGGTGAGAGAAAAGAGAAACAGTTCAGCCATTCCAGACAGTGATGGAAAAGATAGGTAATTCTAACTAACTGATGATCAGAACTGATTAACTCTGAGGGTGATAGGTGGTAGCTTCCTCGTTTGTGCCACACCTGAAACCAGTCGAGTGGTGAAGTTGTCAGACCAGGCACTTCTCTATGAGGTAAATCATTTCTTTTTTAAGTATTTAAAGTATATTATATGTACAAGTGTTTTCTATATGAAATTAATTACATTTCTTCCCAGCCACACTCACTTCTAATGAACATTTTCATCATTTTCTTACAGACATGGGACCGACTGGACTATAAATGTGGACAATACAATTCTTTTGTAGAGGTTTTTTGACAACTGCTCTGGGTTGTTTGAAGTCCAACACTAAAATACTTGACTGAATCTTCCATGGAATCATCTTGAATATGGACAATACTCAAATCGATTGCCTTTGTTGTTACTGACAGACTGAAAAGAGATATACTATGACTCTGCAACAGTTCATGGCAACTAAGACTAGGAAGATATTATAAAATACTGAACTAAAAGGTTGAAGCATATCAAAACAGCTACAGCCAGTACTGCGGTGAACACCACCTCAGCTGAGGGACAGCACAAGACTTTTTTTCTCTTTTGAGTTTTTTTTGCCTTTTCATGCCTTTATTTGATAGACAGGAAAGGGGGGTAGAGCAAGAGGGGATGACACACAGCTAAATGCCACAGGTTGGATTCAAACCTGGGCAGCTGCAGCAACTCCGTAGATGGGTTGGCTGCTCTACCGACTGAGCCAACCGGGCGCCCAACACAAGACTTTCAATGACAGCAATATGTTGTCACAGAACTGTACAAAACAGTGGATGTTCTTGTCAGATTGGCATCTTTGGTCAACCCAATTAGGATCTTATTTAAAAATCTTTTTAGTTTCTGTGGAAGCAAATGACAAGAAGAAGATTCAACAACACATGGAATATTGGCGATCACTCTAAAATGACAACAGGATTAATTGTTACAACTCTACAAACAGGTAAGCTGAAACTTGATGAACATGATTACAGTGCCCTCAGCTTCATGCAATATCTGCTGAATTGCTACTACAAGACTACAAGATACTACAAGCTAATACGCATGCGTCAGACCCTTTATATGCGAACTACAAGCTAATACGCATGTGTCAAACAATTTGACAGAAAACTCCAACGCGGACAGATATTATAGTTCAGGACATCGCTGAACATAGCAGCAGTAGTTCTATTTTTTTTTTTGGCTTTTATTGCCTTTATTTTAAAAGACAGCTGAAGACAGAAGGAAAGGGGGGCAGAGAGAGGGGATTCAAACCCTGGGCCGCTGCAGCAAGGACTCAGCCTCGGTACACGGGTAGCCAGCTATACCCACTCAGCTAACCGGGAACCTAGTACTTCTATTTTCAATGGTAAATCATGTTGGAGATTTTGTTCTCGTTTCGTGTCTAAAGAAGAGAGCCATGTTATTTTAGATCAACTACTCTGTTCTCACTAAAGGTGATACCTCTCTAGGTCCTGTTGTCCGCAGTTTGATTCCACGTGTCGTGCCATGTGTACCGGCCGTGATAGCCAGAAAGGTCCATATCGATGGTGGTTAAATAGCAATAATCAGGTTTTTTTTATGACAATACTTGAACAAAGTGCTCTGGACATAGTTTGTGAGGGCAGTACCTCGTTTTGGAGATTTTAGGCAACGTTCTCGTGTCTTTGATTCCACGTGGAGCTAGGCCTGTTAGCTGATGTAATACGTGAGCTAACAGGTCCATATCGATGTTGGTTGAACAGCAATAATCAGGGTTTTTATAACAATACTTGAATATACAAAGTGCTTTGGCCACGTGAGATCAGTACTTCTATTTTGGATGGTAAATCATTTTGGAGATTTGAGGCATTGTTCTCGTGTCGTGTATGAAGTTTTTATGCAGTGGAAGCCATGTTGAGGCCAAGCCTTCAGGGTGCAACAATGTTTTTCAGAGGTGATGTTGTGTTTATTTGTAACTTTGTAACTAACTTTCTTATTTTAGATGAACTGCTTTCTTCTCACTAATGGTAATATCTCTCTGGGTCATGTTGTACTGCAGTATATCTGTTATATAGTTGGCTGAATTGTTTCACACACACACAATACATATTTTTTACATTGCAGACATAATTTTTAACAATGAAATATTGAATATTTTATATCAGGATAAAATAACTGTTTAGTTTTGATCTCTGTTTATTATCATCTGTGCTCCTGATCCCTAGGGAGGCAACGTCTCCAGCAACACGCCCTCATCTTTGGGCGAAGGATCGGCGCAGCAGAGTTATTTAGCCATATTCCGCCATTTTGAAACATCATGTTTCTACAGTAGCCCAGCATCGACATACCGAAGACTGGCTTCACATTGGGACCTTTTACATTTTCCGTGAGTTTACAAACTTCACAGTAGAGCTGTATTCAGTTGGTTGCAATCTTCAACTTCACCGCCAGATACCATTACAATCTTCACACTGTTCCTTTACACGTTTTACAAGTTTTTTTGATGGCTTGATCAATAAGTGTCTGGTCGTATCCCCTTTGTCCAAAGCGTTCAGATTTCTTCGGCCTTCATTATATAGTCCCATTCACTCACTACATATTCTTCTCAATCTCTCTAATTGACCATATTAGTTTGATTTTCATCTAAAACACCATAAATAATAATTCTTCAGTCCTCTTAACTTACTCACTGCTGTCTGTATTTCACAGGGCCAATGCTGATGCCAGAGGAGGTTGGCAGTGGGGTCTGCAGGCCGGATACCAGGAGCTCAACTGGAATGATGGAGGGCTGCGGAACTGGATGAACATTTGGCTGAATATCCAGTGAGGATCATATTTATATATTGTGTTTTTTTATACTTATAATCAGTAAACAGTATAAACTAAACTATATGTTATATGTACTGTACTATAATCCAATCCAATCCAATCCACTTTATTTATATAGCACGATTTTAACAAACACAAGGTTTCCAAAGTGCTGCACAAAAAGATATACAGAATAAATAGATAACACAATAGAAGCACAATTTAAAAAAAAGATGAAGTACACAGTAAAAGATAAAAGCAATAAAATAAAAATAAAATAGAATAAAATAAATAAAATAAATAAAAAGCACTGCCTGCACAAGATAAAAATATGCATGTATACACATAAAATCAACGCTCTACATGGTGTCAAAGGTCGTTTATCCCTTCTAGGCTACCTTAGAAACATGGCAGTTCATCTTGACAGACCCCATGGTAGGTGACCTGCAGCGTCTCTAGATATGAAAGGTTAATTTTAAGTTGACAAAAACACAACAATACTACTGGACCTTTAAGGAACTAATGTTAGGGGAGCAACCGTGCTGTATTTCAGTATGGAATAAACAGGTGATTTCATCACCTTTCTTTGTAAAAAGATTGGGTGACATGCTTTACTTCATTGTAAATAAAAGATTCTATTAATGATCGATCAGAATTGACCACCGCACACTGGAATAACATTACTGTGATTTTATTTAAGAGCGAGCAGCACTCAGGTCTTGTGCTTCATTCAGTCCATAAGGTTCAATTGTGTTCAGTTCATGCATCCAAAAAGCCTCCCTTCTTAAGAGCTGGTTAGTCAAATTGCCCCCTCTTGGATTGGGTCGCACTCTTTCAACGCCAATGAATTTGAGGGAAGTGGCTGAACCATGGTTTTTCTCCCTATAGTGGCTAGCAATGGCATAATCCATGTTACCATTCCTAATGTCCACCTTATGTGCGGAAAGATCACGTTGAGTGTGGCCCACATACATTAAACCACATGAGTAGAGAGACAGCTTAATGAATTCTTTATGTCACAATTCTTTCCTGAGTGTGGGTGATTGAATGTCTTAGTATCAAATGTGTTAGAACAATGTGCACATTTCCCATATCTGTAGTTCCCATAAACTTGTTGAGAAAGCCGATTCTTTTGTGTGAGTTCCTGACAACAATATCTCTGATATTTCTGCCTCTCTAGAAGTAAAAGCGGGGTCTGAAGGATGACAAATGATTTGAAATTGGATCACATTCTAAGATGCTCCAATGTTTGTTAATAATCTGTTTGACTTGCCTAGACCCCGTACAGTATTCAGACACAGAGGTAGTTCTATCTGTAGTATGTTCAGAAGGAGGATTCAGTAATTCTTCACTGTCCCTGTAGTTGTTTTTTTTGATGGCTTGATCAATAAGTGTCTGGTCGTATCCCCTTTGTCTAAAGCGTTCAGATTTCTTTGGCCTTCATTATATAGTCCCATTCCCTCACTACATATTCTTCTCAATCTCTCTAATTGACCATATTAGTTTAATCTCCATCTAAAACACCATAAATAATAATTCTTCAGTCCTCTTAACTTACTCACTGCTGTCTGTATTTCACAGGGCCAATGCTGATGCCCAAGGACGTCGGCCGTTGTCTCTACAGGCTGGATGTCATGGGCTCATCTGGAATGATGATGGGCAGCTGAGCTTGAGCAGCATGTGGCTGGGTATCCGGTGAGGATCATATTCATATATTGTGTTTTTTTATACTTATAATCAGTAAACAGTATAAACTAAACTATATGTTATATGTACTGTACTATAATCCAATCCAATCCAATCCACTTTATTTATATAGCACGATTTTAACAAACACAAGGTTTCCAAAGTGCTGCACAAAAAGATATACAGAATAAATAGATAACACAATAGAAGCACAATAAAAAAAAAAGATGAAGTACACAGTAAAAGATAAAAGCAATTAAAATTAAAATAAAATACAACAAAATAAGTAAAATAAATAAAATAAATATAAAGCACTACCCGCACAAGATAAAAATATGCATGTATACACATAAAATCAACGCTCTACATGGTGTCAAAGGTCGTTTATCCCTTCTAGGCTACCTTACAAACATGGCAGTTCATCTTGACAGACCCCATGGTAGGTGACCTGCAGCGTCTCTAGATATGAAAGGTTAATATTAAGTTGACAAAAACACAACAATACTACTGGACCTTTAAGGAACTAATGTTAGGGGAGCAACCGTGCTGTATTTCAGTATGGAATAAACAGGTGATTTCATCACCTTTCTTTGTAAAAAGATTGGGTGACATGCTTTACTTCATTGTAAATAAAAGATTCTATTAATGATCGATCAGAATTGACCACCGCACACTGGAATAACATTACTGTGATTTTATTTAAGAGCGAGCAGCACTCAGGTCTTGTGCTTCATTCAGTCCATAAGGTTCAATTGTGTTCAGTTTATGCATCCAAAAAGCCTCCCTTCTTAAGAGCTGGTTAGTCAAATTGCCCCCTCTTGGATTGGGTCGCACTCTTTCAACGCCAATGAATTTGAGGGAAGTGGCTGAACCATGGTTTTTCTCCCTATAGTGGCTAGCAATGGCATAATCCATGTTACCATTCCTAATGTCCACCTTATGCGTGGAAAGATCAAGATGAGTGTGGCCCACATACATTAAACCACATGAGTAGAGAGACAGCTTAAGGAATTCTTTATGTCACAATTCTTTCCTGAGTGTGGGTGATTGAATGTCTTCATATCAAATGTGTTAAAATGTGTTAGAACAATGTGCACATTTACCATATCTGTAGTTCCCATAAACTTGTTGAGAAAGCTGATTCTTTTGTGTGAGTTCCTGACAACAATATCTCTGATATTTCTGCCTCTCTAGAAGTCAAAGCGGGGTCTGAAGGATGACAGATGTTTTGAAATTGGATCACATTCTAAGATGCTCCAATGTTTGTTAATAATCTGTTTGACTTGCCTAGACACCGTACAGTATTCAGACACAAAGGTAGTTCTATCTGTAGTATGTTCAGAAGGAGGATTCAGTAATTCTTCACTGTCCCTGTAGTTGTTTTTTTTGATGGCTTGATCAATAAGTGTCTGGTCGTATCCCCTTTGTCTAAAGCGTTCAGATTTCTTTGGCCTTCATTATATAGTCCCATTCCCTCACAACATATTCTTCTCAATCTCACAAATTGACCATATTAGTTTAATCTCCATCTAAAACACCATAAATAATAATTATTCAGTCCTCTTACCTTACTCACTGCTGTCTGTATTTCACAGGGCCAATGCTGATGCCCAAGGACGTCGGCCGTTGTGTCTACAGGCTGGATGTCATGGGATCATCTTGAATGATGGAGGGCTGCTGAGCTTGAGCAGCATGTGGCTGGGTGTCCGGTGAGGATCATATTCATATATTGTGTTTTTTTATACTTTATAATCAGTAAACAGTATAAACTAAACTATATGTTATATGTACTGTACTATAATCCAATCCAATCCACTTTATTTATACAGCACGATTTTAACAAACACAAGGTTTCCAAAGTGCTGCACAAAAAGATATACAGAATAAATAGATAACACAATAGAAGCAAAATAAAAAAAAAATATGAAGTACACAGTAAAAGATAAAAGCAATAAAATTAAAATAAAATAGAATAAAATAAGTAAAATAAATAAAAAGCACTGCCCGCACAAGATAAAATAAGCATGTATACACATAAAATCAACACTGTACATGGTGTCAAAGGTCGTTTATCCCTTCTAGGCTACCTTAGAAACATGGCAGTTCATCTTGACAGACCCCATGGTAGGTGACCTGCAGCGTCTCTAGATATGAAAGGTTAATTTTAAGTTGACAAAAACACAACAATGCTACTGGACCTTTAAGGAACTAATGTTAGGGGAGCAACCGTGCTGTATTTCAGTATGGAATAAACAGGTGATTTCATCACCTTTCTTTGTAAAAAGATTGGGTGACATGCTTTACTTCATTGTATATAAAAGATTCTATTAATGATCGATCAGAATTGACCACCGCACACTGGAATAACATTACTGTGATTTTATTTAAGAGCGAGCAGCACTCAGGTCTTGTGCTTCATTCAGTCCATAAGGTTCAATTGTGTTCAGTTCATGCATCCAAAAAGCCTCCCTTCTTAAGAACTGGTTAGTCAAATTGCCCCCTCTTGGATTGGGTCGCACTCTTTCAACACCAATGAATTTGAGGGAAGTGGCTGAACCATGGTTTTTCTCCCTATAGTGGCTAGCAATGGCATAATCCATGTTACCATTCCTAATGTCCACCTTATGCGTGGAAAGATCAAGATGAGTGCGGCCCACATACATTAAACCACATGAGTAGAGAGACAGCTTAATGAATTCTTTATGTCACAATTCTTTCCTGAGTGTGGGTGATTGAATGTCTTCGTATCAAATGTGTTAAAATGTGTTAGAACAATGTGCACATTTCCCATATCTGTAGTTCCCATAAACTTGTTGAGAAAGCCGATTCTTTTGTGTGAGTTCCTGACAACAATATCTCTGATATTTCTGCCTCTCTAGAAGTAAAAGTGGAGTCTGAAGGATGACAAATGATTTGAAATTGGATCACATTCTAAGATGCTCCAATGTTTGTTAATAATCTGTTTGACTTGCCTAGACACCGTACAGTATTCAGACACAAAGGTAGTTCTATCTGTAGTATGTTCAGAAGGAGGATTCAGTAATTCTTCACTGTCCCTTTAGTTGTTTTTTTTGATGGCTTGATCAATAAGTGTCTGGTCGTATCCCCTTTGTCTAAAGCGTTCAGATTTCTTTGGCCTTCATTATATAGTCCCATTCCCTCACTACATATTCTTCTCAATCTCTCTAATTGACCATATTAGTTTAATCTCCATCTAAAACACCATAAATAATAATTCTTCAGTCCTCTTACCTTACTCACTGCTGTCTGTATTTCACAGGGCCAATGCTGATGCCCAAGGACGTTGGCCGTTGTGTCTACAGGCTGGATGTCATGGGCTCATCTGGAATGATAGACGGCAGCTGAGCTTGAGCAGCCTGTGGCTGGGTATCCGGTGAGGATCATATTCATATATTGTGTTTTTTATACTTTATAATCAGTAAACAGTATAAACAAAACTACATGTTATATGTACTGTACTATATTGCACATCATTCCATCAGAACTGACATTCATCTGAAAAATCAAATGTTAATCACTTAAAATGCAAAGTGCAGACAATCACAAGACAAGTTTATGAGTGGAGCTGCGATTTAAAAAACACTGTGATAACATAACGTATTAATCACTTCAAATACTCAAAGTCTCTGAACTTTTCACTTCTACCTTCATATCCTTATTTTATGAACTCGGTAGACAGGTGTTGCTTGTAATTGCCCTTGCAGGCATATATCAAGTCATATAGAATTGATTTAAATCAATAAATAAGAATCCTCAACAGTTCATGATAGCTTAAAACAATGTTTTACCCCCTATATATGAGAGTAAATATACTGTATATAATCAATGCAGTTTACATAAACCGATGGAACGTGAAACCAACAATGTGTTTTAAAGATGCAAATTATTAAGTATTCTTCAAATGAATCTGTATCTGTAGCCTGCTTTTCTCAGGTCAGTTACATTACAGCTACAGGTAACCCTACATTAATTGTCTCTCTTCTTGTACACAGGGGGAGTCACTACCCACACCCACACCTGCCCTTTGTCTCCATCACATTTGGTCTGATCACCACCTTTTGTATGCATTCCCTCCGACTCCGATGTCAATCATGTAACATTTAATAACACTTTATTAAAAGTAACTTGCTAGCAAACCTGTATTGGACTTAAATTATTTTTCTTCAACAAATGGTGCCGTGACCTGGATGGCAACATACTTCCAAGGACACTCTTCTTCCAGACCAAGGACACACCAGTAAACTAAGAATCCAAATTTCAGAGGTGAGGGGTCCTTTTGAAAACCCAGTTGCAGTTGCTGTGTGTCGGAGGTCTGTGAAGCTGGAGTACCAAAGAAGTTGATGCCATCCAATTTTGAAGTAAAGTTGCTGTGTGGTTGTTGTGCAGATGAGTTCCCTGGGTTTCCTCTGTTGGCAAATTGCTTAGGAATGTCTGCAGATTTTATGTGTATACCTCTTCCTTGCCATAGGATTTGACTCGCTCTCCTATAGGTTATGGCTTTTTATAAAATAGATACAGGAAACACTGAAATGGCCATTAAATGAAAGACCAGATAGTTGAATCCTGTGAAAGACCAGGTATATACTAGTCCAAAAGGTTCTGAAAAGGACTGTCCGCAGTGTAGGGAACACTGTCCAGTGGTGACGTCGCAGTGTGGGGTATACTGCCAGTGTGTGGAACACTGTTTAGAGAATAGGACTATGCAGGGTCGGGTTGGGGTAAGAAAAGCAGAGATCTTGTTTTTTGTAGGGATTTGACCCGCTCTCCTTGCACAAAAGAAATGATTTGTATCCTCTGAATGGAATGTTGATGGAAAGAATTGGGAACTGAATTGTGGGCAAAAGTAAGTGTATAAGCAGAGATATATCTTGTTTTTTGTAGGGATTTGACTCAATGCACAAATGATTTGTATCTTCTGAGTAGAGTGTTTTTTGAGGGATCTCATGGAAAAGAAAATGGGAAGTTATTTCAGTAGAGGGACAGAGAAGGATTTTACCGGCCCTGTAAGTACACGTACAAGAACTATGGTAACGATTGCATTCAAATTTGTTGCAACACACACAAAAAACAAGAAACAGTAAAATAAATGTTGAAAGAACAACATTTATAACAAAGGAAAAGTTACGAAGTAACTAGAAGAAACAGATTAAAAGTAAGACTCTACTCTTAAAATATAAGAATAAACAAAGAAAACTCTTCCTTAACTTCTTAAAACCTAGTTAGTAGCACAAATAAAATAAAAAACACAACGAAGAGTCAAACTTTAAAAGTGCAACAACTCGAAAACTAGAGAACAAAGGAACAACGCAAAGCTTAAGAAAATTATTAAAATTATTAAGTCTTCCCGGAAGCACTAAAACAAACAACATGATTTAATCAAGAGATTTAATCTTGTCTTACTGTTTTTTGTATGTTTGTGATTTAATGTTTAATAAGTCGGCTACTTGCGTGTGTATGTTTTTTTTTCTTTCCAATGTCCAATGTCTTTCCAAAGACACACACTAATGTATGGTAAATGCATTAAACTGACACCACCACAGCAAACCTGAACTGGACTTGAATGATTTTTCTTCAACTTTACCTTCAGAGTTATCCTGCCAACAATTCCAATTTGTTAAATAAATCTTATCTTAAGAAAAGTTTATTGCACATAATGAACAAATGTGAACAAATGTGAACCAATGTGGTATACTGGGGGATGAGGGATTAAGGGATGGGGGGTAGGGGTTGAGGGTTGAGGGATGAAGGGAAGAAGGGATGAGAGTTCAGGGATGAAGGCTGAGGAATAAAGGTTTTGATGGATGAACGGATGGAGGGGTTCGGCACGATAGTAAGAGGGAACCGAATGGGTTGTGAGACTCTGAGTGGAGTCATTGTCATGGTCATTGTGCATCATAAAAGGGTGGTTTAATAAATACAGTGTGCCATATGCATTCCTGCCTCTATATCAGGACTTTATTTCCTCTTCATTAATCAAACAAGTAGCTGGTAGGACAAATATGCCCATTTTGAGAGATAAGTAAATGCTGTAAAAACATATCAGACACACATTATTGTTTCAAGCAGTCTACATTCAGAGAGTACATGTACTGTACCAAGGTGGCTGGGGTTTGACTGGATAAAATAAATTCATGAAGCACTGCAACACAGGACCATGAAATAATTAATTAAATAGTGAAATAATTGTAATAAAAAATGTGGGTTTTTTACATAAAATGAATCAGTATTTTAATGACTTAATGAATCTCATAGGATGAAAGTGCAATATTCTTAAAATATTTCCATTTCTAACATCACACTTAACTAAAATCATTTTATATCAATAATTGTACGTATTTGCTGGGACAGAATTGTGCTTTTATGTCTATCAAGAGGTAGTTCACATTGATATGAAGCAACTAGAAAATAATAATTATAATAGTCTTGCAGTCCAGATATTTTTGACATCATGTCGTGGGACAGAGGGAGGAGGATGAAGGGTCGGCAGCCTACCCAACGCGAGGTATAAAATTCTGTTGCAGGAATATTGAGTCATTTATTCATTTTATCGGCTCAAAAGTAGTCAAAAAATATAAAACACACACTATTGTACCTGTTTTTTTATTTATTTTTTATTTCAAGGTGTCACTACTCTCCCCAGACTGCTTCAGCAGCAGAAATACCAAGAAAAAGACGAAGGACACGACCTCAGTCTCAAAGGCAGCTACAGTCCTGACTGTAATGATCTACTTTCTGGGTTTGCCACGTGACAAGCTGGTTATCAATTCAGGTCATGTTGTCTGCTTATTGCACAGGTACCATTCAGGCTAGGCTAAATCACATATCATTTATTAAAATGTTACTCATATACATTTTACAAAAGCTAACTTTGCCTCTAACATCGAACATTTCATTTAAAAGTTCACATCATAAAATAAATGTTAATCAAAAAAATGACATTTCAGCATTTACACATCTTGGGTTGTAACACAGTTATTCATATATGTATTTAACTGAATTACATCACTTTCTAACTCTAAAAAAGACTTTCATTTTCAAGCGTTACAGGAGGAAAAGCACAGGTGTAATTAATCTCGTGAATAATGGCTGTATTTAGTTTTGTGACACTTCAGTCGAGGTGCTACGCCATTAACGTTACTGGTTCCACCTGCGTGATTCTCCTGCTACGACTGGCCTACGTAGGGAAACGTATCCATTATGGTTTAGTATGAATTAAGGTGTATGTATCCACCTTATCACACCTGTAACCTGCCTCCTAAATGATGAGCAAGCACACACAAAACACGCTTTTTCAGTCCTTGCACCAAAAAAAACCAAACACTTAAATTGGCCCTGAGCTGCATTTTAGTGCCGTTCTGTCCGTGTTAAAATCATATCCAACTTAAAACAGTAAAACTCTGGAGATAAAGATTAGTTAAAATGTTTGGCTTTATTCCAAAGTGTGATTAGAAACCAAAAAAAAAAAAAAAAAGAAAAGTTGATGAAAGTCAATTTTAAAACAAGTTATTCCTGAAAAGGCTGAAAACACGTTTAGATTACATTTTCAAGGTGTTGACTGATGATCCGAATGCAAATGGAGTAGATATAGTTATTGGCACCATAGTTGACAAAATAAATACATTTCAAAAGCAAAAAGTTCACATCACGCTGTCCTATCACTCACACATACATATACACGCGCGCACACACACACACACACACACACACACACACACACACACACACACACACACTCTCAGGCAGTTAAAGTCAGTGGAGATGAGAAATAGTAAGACCGCGGTTAAAAGAAATCTACTCTTCCTGGTTTGTAGCTGACACACAAACCACTAAAACAAAAAGGTATCATCACAAATCCAGGTATGAAGAGATTCCAGGTGTTACTCATGATATAGTCCTGTAATACTTCATATTACATTCTACAACTTGAGCCATATTCAGGCGCTTCACCTGGCCAGGAAAAAAAGAAACCTGGTGGGTTGGGCACATTTCTCCACAAGATGCATCTTAAAAAGATATATATGACAAAAAGGAAATGTATGGGTTGTTTTTTTTTCTTTTTTTCTTCTGGGTCCATTTTCTTCTTTGCCAGTCTAATCTTCACTTAGTCCTCTAAGTTCACCGTTTCCTGTCACGTCAGGCTGTCGGTTCCTTCTCGCCGTGGTGACTTAGCGGCCGGCGGAGAGCTCTGTTGTTGGTCGTCTTCCTCGCAGTCAAAGTAAAGGTCTGCGGGTTTCCGTGCCACGAAGAAGACGCAGTCGTAAATGTATCTCAACATGGAGCGGTCGTTCTCTGTGTAGGTGGTCTGAACCGACTCTCTCTCCACCTGCGGGAGAAATAGAAGTACCGTTTTACAATTGGAACAAGATCTCTGAAGACAAACACGATGTTAAGTCAGGAATATGAATTAAAGTCATTGGCTTACCTCTAAGTGGAAGCCAAAGTTAACAATGGCTGTCCTAATGTCTTCGTAGCTAAGTTCAACTGAGAGCTCATTGGCCATGTTCTCAAAGTGGTACAGCAGTGGACCTGAAGACACATCCAAGGTTTAAACTCTGAGATCATTTTTCTGGGAACCAAAAAGGTTATTTTTCTCTTTACTTGGTAATAAGACGAGTTATACAACTGCACTTTTTACTTTCTTTCTAAGACAAATCCAGTTCATGGAGAATTTGTGTTTGTCAACTTGTGTTATTTTGTTTTGTTTGCAGATGACAGGACACACACACAGACACACACACACACACACACACACACACAGACACACACACACACACACACACACACACACACACACACACACACACACACACACACACACACACACACACACACACACAGATTTGATTACTGATGTGATTAAAAGGGAGTCCATTTTCCACTAACTAACAGACTCTAAACATCTGGGTTTGCTTAAAGAATCATTGAATCAATCATTGAATTTAAAGTGATAAAGTTAAGCCGAAGTGGGAACACTAAAGAGACAGCTGATATCAGAAAGAAGTAACACAAATACACATCTAACAGTGAGAGTGGAAAAAGAGTAAATTTTGCTTTATTTCTAATACTTACAGGTCTTACAGGTGGTGTGTTTGTCTTTTTAAAACGTCCAAAGTTCCCACAGCTACTCATGGAAAGCATTTTGTTTGCCAGTACAGTTTAAATGAATGAATAAATAAAAATATATACACATATGTTGTTTACTAAAGTTGACTCACCCAGGTTGATCCACACTCCACCAGGTTTTAAAATCTTCCAGATAGTCTCCACATACTCGATGACATTATGAGCTGTGTCAATAAAGAAGCAGGTAGCCACACAGTCCCAGGAATCTGAAACAGACAATTTATTACAACACATCATCATTTTAAATGATCATTACTAAAAGGAGCACAATTCACCATCAATTATTCATCAGTTCCAGTACATTCACATCACACAACACATTTTAGATCGATTCAATTCTTGCTTTTTAGAGAAAATGTAATGATAAACACTTTTTAACAGATGGAGATTAGCTGTATTTAAATACAGTATACGCTCTCATTCATCGACCAGCCTTCAAGCCCCGAGTAAGGACTCTTATTTGCATTTGTGTTGGTGAGTTTATATTTATTCACAACAGTTAATATCAGCAATCAAAGTGTATTCTTAATGAAATCAAACATAATCCCAGAGATTTTCTGCGATTATTGCCAGATGTCCACATTTGCAGGGTCGTTTCTTAAAAATTATACATAATAAAAAATACTTTTTTGCAACAACAAAGATGAAAGATGCACAGCTTTTACTGACCTGGCTCACTGTAGACCTCCACAAAGTCCCCTGCTACCATGGAGAAGTCGGCATTTAGCGGTAAACTCTGAGGGTTGACATCAGGGAAGCTGATTGGTCGCGTTTGGTCCGAGGATTTCTTGTTGTTGCTAAACTGGTGGATCCAGGGGTACAGGGTCAGAGAGTTGAGCTGTTCACACCTGAATGGAGCAGTAATTTATTAGGACAGGTGGTTACGTGTTCTGATTGTACTTACTAAAGTGTGATTGATCACTGCATGCATAGAAAGGACCCTATGTGTTGTGTAAGGCAGCTGGAGTCACAGGAGTGTTAGTGTCAGTATGTGCTGTACCTATTGAGGACAAAGTTGGAAGAGAAGAGCATGAAGAAGCTCCATTCGTTGCCCTGGCAAATATAACCCAGCCGAGCGATCTCCCAGGCTAGACGGCCAAGCCCAGCACCCGGAACCAGCACGCTCACCTTAGACACATCACTGACATAATAAAATGTACAAAATGCACATATCACATGGAAAACGTGGAGTAAGTCACATCATCAGAATCATTACAAGGTGTCTTGATACCATAGCACATAGGAAAAACATGTTCTCTCTTATATCAAATATGTCTGAGTGTCATTGTCCTTTATTTTGTAGGCATGCAGTTGTTTGTGTGGCAGTGTGTAAGTGTGTGTGAGTGTGTGTGAGTGAGCTTCAGTTTCCTACTATTGGTCACTTGGGAAGAGTCTTTGGATCTCTTTGATGATAGGCTGGTAGCAGGAATCCCTCTCAGCTCGGCCCACCTCGCTCCAGTCTCTGACAAACTGCTTTATGGTGGACTTGAGCTTGTCCATGTCGAACGTGGTGGATGGCCGCGCCTTCCGCGGATCCTCCTGGAAGTCCAACAGAGACACAACATTACAATTCCTTGAGTGAAGAACAACAAAAAACTAAAAAACAACCTGTGTGCAAACTTTACATTAGAGGTCTCCAATCTTTTAGAGAGTAAGGGGGGCGGCCCAAAGGAAGGGCTACTCTGTACACTTGACAAACATCCATGTTAAATTGATGCTTTCAATAGAATAACAGTGTGTATTTTCCTCTTAGTCATTATCATACACAGGTCTGAACCAATTTGATGTGGAATTGTGGGTGTGAAGTCTCAATGAAGTTTTTCAATTAATAAAAACATATCAATAACGTTTGGACACAGTGAAACCCATTTGCACACTTCCTCGCAAGAAATATTTAAGATCAAGGTTGAGATTCGGGCTGTACGATATGATAAATATTAATATTGTGAATATTGCATCGCAATTTTTTTGGGTACCAAACAAATATGTTTCCTTACATCTGGAAAACAAGAGTTATAGGCCAGGGTATCTCAGTACTATATTATAAAGCTGTTTCGTCACATATTTTACCTTTTTCAAAAAATTCCAGCTTTTGCAATTTGTATATTTAGATTTTGATATTGTTTGGATTAATTGTATTAATTGAGATTAAAGAACATGCCCGGTGAGAACCTCATAGGCTACTTGCAGGCTACCTGCTGTACATGTGCAGTGGACTACCTGCCGTGAAGTCAAGCCTTACCCTCTCGCCGTACTCGATGTTCTCAAACATGTGGAGGCTGTTGTGAATGATGGCCTGCAGCAGCTCCTGGTTGTGGTCCGCACACTGGCTGATCCGGGCCAGGTTGGACAGAACATCTGGCAGCAGATCCTGGTGGTGCTGAGGCAGGCTCCGAAACTGCCGCTCAGCCCGCTTGACCTGCTCCTCGACATGGACCCTGAGAGGAGGAAGAAGAAGAAGAAGACACAAGGTCAGAGCAAGGGTTCATGTCAGGTGTCTCCAAAAGGGACATCACATGCTGACAACTCATCTGAGGAGCAATCTGAGGGTCTTCACACTCTGTTTCCTGTATTATGTACTCTTTAATGTCTTCAGGTGGGACTGCCACATCACATGATTCCTGACTTTAGTCTGTTTTGACTTGTGAGAGGTGTCAAAGGGGACTGGGAGGAAGGGTGGGTCATGCAGTAGACGTGGAGACAAGACATGAGTCAGATGATTGGCCAATAAAGGCTGTTTAAATATAAGAGGAGTCAACTATAGGGAACACTAACAAATATATAAATAAAGATAATCCATCTCAGCAAGCGTGTTTTCCCTCCAAACTGTTATCTTCTCTTTTTGTTATTTGCTAACAACATCGTCTATTGTCACAAAGCGACGTTTCCCCGGCTCGTTTATTTCATATAAACATCGATATTATACCTGTAGAATCTAAAAGCATCGATTATCCTCCAGAAATGTTGCCTCTCCAGCTTGGCCTCCTCCTCCGGGCTGTATTTTATCCTCTCTTTGTGGAAAAATGGTGCTCCTGGCGCTCCCTCTCCCTCTCCGGTCGGTTCGGCCATGTCTGAGACAAATTTACAGCCAGCCAATCAAAACACGACAAATGTCTTTTTCTTGGGATTTATTAACAGCGGCAGACCACACAGCGAGGCACACTGCTGCCACCCACCGTCGGATTATTAGACAGCAGTTATTTAATCTGAGCCACTGGTTGAAAGGAAACAAATAAACAGATTATACCAATATTATACTTGAATGCAAAGTGTACACTGTAGTAATATATAATAAGGTGAGAGATAAAACCAATAGTGCAGTCCCTCCCCTTCTTCTGATTGGTTCAGTAAACTTATAAATTAGTACTCCAGTATGCCCCCTTTTGGTGCCCCATGTGCTCGCTGCAGCTGTCAAGTCCCATCTAATCATTAATAAATGCAATTTCTAATGAGATGATCGGTTGGTGATACTTTGGCTGACATGAATTTAATTTTCCTCATAGAACCACCGTTTCGTGTGCTCGCATAGTTTTTAGTTTTTTTAGTTTACAAAAGAGCTGAGTCATATCTAATGAGAGAAATGTTTATCTGTCTGGGATCTATTTATTTACCGTATTAGGGAATGCAGAAATGACACAGCACACAAATACTGAACAAAAAGACAAATTTAAAAATGCTCCACAGTCCCTGAATTTATTGTCTTTTATTTTCATAAAGCAAGAGACCACAGGACAAATGTTTTTCTTAGTATTTTATAAGTGATGCAACAGCTGTGTTTGTGTAAACACAGTGTTTATTCCATCAGATGTTCGGGTTGATAATCTTTCCCATGAAGAGGACGTTTTCTGTGTCGCGGACAGCGATGACAACCATAAATGGACGATCGAACTTCATGACTGGGACGTGGCGGAAGGACAGAAGTGTGATGCCGATGCCTGTGGCGGCTGCAGCGGTGGCTCCGGCCTCATCCACATCCAGGGTAGCTTGGTGCACAACCTGCGGAGCAAAGGAGGCAGAGTGAGACGAAAGGTGGAAGAAAATATATGTGCAATAACGTTTCCTATCCTTACCTCTGAGACTGCCAGCTTTTGCCCCTCTGCAATGCCGCTCAAGTCTGCACGATCGCCAAACATGTCTGTCATTCCCATTTCAGTCAACACGTTGTTCAGTTTGTAGGAACTCTTGATGGAGAACTTTGGAACAAATACGTCATACGTCCTAAAAGACGAATGGGAAACGTACAGTGACTGATCTGATACTCATGACTGATAACAAACCTTCCGTATTAAAAACCAAGATCACCCAACCTGGGCTTCATCCACTTCAGCCATTTGGTGACATGACCCGGGCAGATGGTGTTCTCCAGTGTTGCCATATCGTCAGGCAGCAGCAGCAGCATGGAGTAGGTGCTGTTGAAGGGAAGGTGGAGGACTGATGTGTTAATCCCCTGGTCGTAATATGTATCAAAGCGTCCCTCATTATTCATCATCTGCACTGGAACCTGGAAAACGTCAATTTAAACGTAAAAATCAGGACACACAGTTTGCGTAATGACTGTAACTCAAATCCATTCTGAGGAAATGAAGCAACTCTGCACCTTGGTGTTCTCGTCCACCATGAACATGTCCTGCTTGGTGAGCTCAGGATCAAATGGAGTCGCCCACTTTCCTGTTTGACGAGTTAAAACACAGCTTAAAGGTTGATACATAAAGGTGTGACCTCCAACAAACAACCAACTCACGGAACCTCTTTACCTTTGAAGTAGATGTAGCTGATGAGATACATGACCGTGCTTGGATCCAGGTTGCCGACCAGCTCGTCTATCTTCCCGTTGGTCTTCTCCTCCACATACTTATTGATGGTGTTGGCGCTTTCCACGGTTTTGGTGAAATCAACATTGAACCCATCTGCAAAGTAGGACTGCTTCAAGGTCTCCAGGAACTCGGGCCGAGGCTTGAAGCTGTTGTCCACGAAGACGGCGGTCCCCGCACTGATGTCTTCACTAGATGTGGTGTTAGCCCGATTGAGGAGCACCTGGAAGGCCTGATCTACATCTGCCTGCGTCAGCAGGGTGTTGTTGAAACCCAGACCACTGTGGAGCTGCCGGTGGGTGTCCCCCCGAGCTCCTACGGACAAGGCAGCCAAGGCAACAGACACGCTAACTGGGGAGTAGAAGATATTTTTGCCTTGCGAGTCAGCATGAGCTGCCAGCTTCCTGTACAGACGGTAGGAGAACTCTTTGTTTGCTGCAGTCACCCGTGAGATGCTGTTGGAGCTGAGTGCAGTGTCTTGTTCTGCCGGATCTTCGACGGTGACATGACCTATGTGGTGATGGCCTCGCCCCACGCAGATCACTGCTGACAAGATCCAGATACTCAGGGCTGCGTGCATCATTGTGAACTAAGATAAAAGTTCAAAAGTAAACATTGTTCATTTGGGTTACACAATGTTTGCTATCACACATATTGATTTTGCTAGTAGTTACAATAAATGTTGTTTTGAAGGCCCAATCAGCTTCTTATGAGCAGTGAACTCCGACATTAATTTACATTCAGATTTTATTATTTCTGTCTTTCTCTGTGCTCCTCTCACCAGTTTGAAGTGACAACATTTGAAGGAGAATCTGATAGCAGGTTGTGGGCTGTCAATCAAATCTGATCCAACCACACCCACGCAGTCCTCATGAAGCAGAATAGCTGAATTTTTGAGTATTAAACTCTTAATAAATAATTATATATCTATATTTGATTGTTGCAATCTGAGTCATGAATATTTAATTTTATAGAAAGACAGTTTTTGACTTTAAATTCGTGAAAATACAACAACACATCCACTGAACCTCCAAACGGACGATAAGAAGAGTAAATCTAATCCTTACATTCAATCTTTACAAACACCCCACAGTGTGCCGTTTCATCTCAAACTCAAGATATCAAACATTGTTTTTAACTTTTACATGAACCACATATTGCAAAATACAACCTATCGGGGTTCTCTGAATCTTTCTAACCACTTACCCTGTCCGACGAAGCACAGGCTGGATGAAGGGGAGACGTCCTTTTTATAAGATTGATCAGAACAACTGAACTTTGGCTTTGTTGATTCTCTATCTCAGGCTTTTATTTGTTCTGTGTAATGATTACTGTCCAACCATGGCATAGTTTGCTTCAGCAGCATGTACAAAAACCTATATATCTCTGTCTCTAGCCCATACAAACCAAACTGATGTTTAGTAGCACTGATGTGTATACTGAAAGCCAGACATTCACTAAAACATTCAGCAGATTCATATTTTTATGTGAAACCTCAATCTATGTAACATGTATATTAAAATATATAAAGAAATATTTTTACCTTAAAGCTCCAGTGTGTAACATTTAGGAGGATCTATTGGTAGACATTAAATATAATATTCATTGGTATGTTTTCATTAGTGTATAATCACCTGAATATAAGAATCGTTGCGTTTTCATTACCTTAGAATAAGTTGATTTTATCTACAGGGAGCGGGTCCTCTTCTAATGTCTGCACCATGTTTCTACAGTATCCCAGAACAGACAAACATTGGCTCTAGATCACCAAAGTTTCTCCTAAACTCTTGGTTGAGATGAAGTGTGTCTTAGTCTGCAATTTCACTACTAGATGCCACTAAATCCTTTACACTGGTCTTTTGGTGTGGGAAATAAGCATTTTATTTTTAGTAAGTCAGATCAGAATCCACTGACAGTCAGCTTATACTGGAACAATGAAGGACCATTGTAGTGAGGAAGGTATTGGACATATGATCAACACCTTGATGGAATCAACTTTATCAGGAGCTCAGCAACTGTTCCTCCGCTTACTTGTTATAAGGCAAAACACTCTGAAAGTCCCCTCAGAGAGCAAGAGATTTGATTCATCACACCGAGACTATAATTCTTCAGAGAACTAGCAACTCTCAGTATTTCAGAAGGATTTCTACACAGGAAAGTGTTTTCAAAAACAACAGCAGTAGCACTCAAAGTAAAAAAAAAAAAAAGGTTTATGCAAACGTATAATGAATTCAGTGGATCTCATAACATTACGGAGTATACTTGAGCTATCTTTATCATATCCGCCCTTGTGTTCTGGACCCATGAAAGCTGACCAGTAATGCTATCAAGCAGGGTTCAGTGTCTGCCAAAGAGCTGGCCGTCCAGTTTGATGAGCTGCCGGAGGAACCCTCGATTGGGGATAACACCCCGGTTATCTTTCACAGCACAAATAGCCTCCACGAGGGTCAGGTTCTGCTTCAGCATCAGGTAGGCCAGGACCAGGGTGGCGGAACGGCTCACCCCTACGTGACAGTGCACCAACACCTTGCCTGAGAACCAGAGACAACATTAGATTCATTTCTAAACTGACACCAGATCTAATTGCCTTTAAATGATTCATCTACCTCCTCTGCTGAGAGCCCTGTGGATAAAGTCGGCCGCTGCCTGGAAGTTGACGCTCATGTCAAAGTCACAGGAGTCATGGGCCTCTATGCCCATGTAGCTGATCGTCATGCCCTCGTAGATTTCCGGCTGTCCTCCGCGTTTACTGTGAGCTGCATTCAGGATGTGAGTGATTCGATGCACGGACAGATCAGCGCAGTTCTCTGCACTGTGTCTGAAAAACACAACAACTCTTGTGTTTCCTGACGAACGCACGCATGCAGCTTATTTCACAGTGATGGATTGATATTTAGGAGACAATTTCAGACATGTGCATTAGAACGTACCAAGAAACCTGAGACTTGCTTTCATGCACTCCCTCAGTGGAAACTCTCGTACTTCCCAGAGATGTAATTTACGCAAGTTCCCAATGTGGAATGCAACTTGTGGGATCTTAAGTTACACCGTCTGCATTTAAATCTGATTTATGATCAGTTCCTCTTTCACATATGTGGACTGAATCCAAGTCTAGAGTTGAGTAATATTTGTAAAAAGGGGCTCAGAGGGCACATAAAAGCAGCAGACACAGCAGAGAGGCTTTGGTTTTTACTGAGAGATAAGTGAGTTACTTACTGGTCACCAATGTAAAGCTTTGGCCACACTTCATCTGCATGGCTGATGATGGCTTTGCCAGTAAACAAGAGTCTTTCCAACTCAAACACCGCTAAACCTGGCGAGCTCAGGTCAATTTCCACTTTCCGAGCAGGGGGTTTATCATTCCAGGACGCGGGAAGTTTGCATGTATAGGACATCGCTTCTTTTTGCACGGGGTTTCAGGCAGATCTCGGAGGTGATACAGCAGCTTTAGGAGGAAACTTCTAGTCCATTAAAAGTAGACAATAATAATAATAATGATTAAAAAAAAGTTTTAGTTAGTTTACCAAAAAATATTAGTCTTCCAGAAGAAAGTTAGGAAGATTTCCTAGCAAACTGTCTGGAACCGCTGCGTCGAACTGGGCAGCATGACACCTCAGATTTACTCTCCACAGGGTGCCCTAAGTGCTGTCAGGAACATTTGACCCTCAAATTAAATCCAGCCTGTGTGCCTCAAGCCTTCCGGGGCCTGTGTTATGCTTTTGCATCAAAATAGCTGTCTATTTAAAGATCTGAATGCTGGCTAGCAGATGTAGGGAGTTGTGAGGCCATGCAGCAGTGTCCACTTGACAGGAGAAAAAAAATGATAATGATAATTTCTCATTATTGTATTTTTATAACAGAAGTTTCTGCTTCTTTTTAAAGAAGGAAATAAGTTTATTTATTTGTAGCCATTATCCATTTAGAGCTAAATATCTCACCTTAAATAGATTGGCTCTGTTAACTTTTCTTTACGATATAAAACAATGAGAAGAAAATAAATATTCAGGTGGTCACAGGTTAAAAAATATACTGACATTTAATTATTTCTCTATTTTCCAACTTGTAATAATTTCAATATTTATCAGGCAAAGATTCCCATCTTGTGTCGGAAACATGCATTACATCTGAAACTGTACAGTTGGGCTCCATTTAAACAGAAACTTACCAGCACAGGAAAATGAACACATATGACAGGTGTTTTTTTTTTTTTTTTCATGCAAAGCTTGTGATCTTATTTTTATTCATTTATTTTTTCTAATCATATAAAACCATCCCCTGAAATATGGCACTCTTTTTTTTCTAAATCAACACATCAACAATGATTGGAGAAAAAAAAAGACTTGCTCTACACAAGAAAATGGAATTGCGGTCCAAATCTGGATAACAAGGATGTTAGTGCTCGAGAAAAACAGAAACAACATCCAAATGAAACAACTGATCCAAGCGCTGTGACCAACATCGTCCTTCAGCACAAAACATTACTGAAAATGTTAAAGTACATCCTTTCTTTGATCCTTTACAGCGACTTAATTGAACACTTACTTCAGAAAATACAAATCACTTGCTTAGTCATATATATATTCCAAGTGTTCAAAAAGGATAGAAAGAACATAATTTAACAGCTTTTCAAGTAACTCTTAAACTTGTCCTTATTTATCTGTAATAACAGTAGTTCCTAGAGCGAAATACATGGCATTCATATGTAGGTCTGATTCTAGGTCTGCACTTGGGAAGCAATTTCATCCAAAAGATGGAATAACGAGGACAGCAATCTTTAGAGGGTTTTCACTAATCTGCTACGTTCTAGGCCCAGTTTTGAGCTCGGAGATGTCGTGACTGTACTGAGTGCGCGTCTGACATTACAGTGCATGCAGGGGGCTGGGAGCGGTGGTTGAAAACGGGAAAGCATTGCACCTATTCCTGCAGAGACACGGAGGAGCAATGGGCAACTAAGTGTATGGCCTCTATCGGAGGGGAGGGGAGGGTGAGGACGATATCATGGTCATGCAAATGGGCTGTGAGATGTGTTAGTAGACAGCTAACGAAGTGCACGTGTTGTTAGATGTGGGATCAGACTAAAACTGAACCCACGATCCTGAGGGACAGCATGACGATAATCTGAATCACAGGTTAGAGACCACCAACGGTTGTAATGTGGCACTAAATCAATTCGTCTTCCAGTGACTGTGCCCTGCGTTTATGCTGGCAAAGGCATGACATGAAAAGATAAGCTGAGCCAGTGTGTCAGGTTGTGTAGTCAGCACAGTCACTCACTGAGGCTGAAAGTCACTTCTGATATGTACAACCTTCAGACTGCACTTCTAACACCACCATGTCACTTATACCAGCATAATTAGGCTTTAAAAAGGTCGATTCCATGTACCAGTAGTTGCTCTATCTTGTTCTTGGGGTCCGTGCCGCTTAATTTCAGGCATTTTACATCACGGTGGTGGAAACAACCTTAACATAACACAGCTCCGAGGAACAAGACTAGACCCTCAATGAGTCCATGGAAGATCTGGAAGAAGAAAAACAGCAAGACTTAGTGACCCACAAAAACCAATAAATAAGTCCAGTTCAGAAGGCTTTCTTCTCCAGCTGGTCCAGAATGGCCTGGATCCTCTGTACGGCCTCCTTTCGGGCTTGCCGGACGGTCTCCAGTCCCTGAGTCTCCACAGAGTCCAGCACCAGCAGCTCTTTGGTCAGCAGTTCCTCCAGACACCGATAACTCTTGTCTGTCTTTTTGCCAACAAACTCGTCAACATCTTCCTGAAGCAGCATCATTCTGGCCATGACCTGTTGGACCCTTGCTAGGCCGGGGTTATTGCTCAGGGGCTGGGGTCCAGCCGGGCCCGGAGCTGGAGCTTGGGCCGGAGCCGAGGGCGGCGGCTCACCTTGCGAAGGATTAGGCTCTCCTCTCCCGGTTTTGTTGTACATTTGGGGGGGTGAGCTTATTTCGGCAGGCTTCCCGTTGGGCGGGTTCGGGGATGGGGTTGGCCTCGGTTTAGGTCCCACTTGTGGTGCACGTTGGTGCTGTTGGTCCTAAAGTAACACAAAAACAGAAAGATGGTAAAATATTGTATTTGCAGTACTTCCACATTTGACCTCATAATGTCTCCGATGTACTTTTTTTCTTATTACCGACTGTATGATGGGGTTGAGTGGACAAATATATGAGCTATGGCTGAGTCCATCGCTGGTTGTTCTTTTTGGACGATTTTTGTCTTTTTATTTTGCTCATTTAATGGTTTGCCTACAAAGAATGAGAGCTGGTGCTCAGCGGCGCAGTACGTACACTGAGCACAAGAATGAATGAGAGGAAAAACAGCTGTAGAGCAAGAATATTTTCACATCTGCTGTGAATTTAGACTTTTTCAACTAGTTGGAATGCAGTAACAAAACAAAAAAAAGGTGAGGCTCTAACCAGGACTGTGACTCCAGGGAAGATGAGGACACTGCAGGGATGGGAGAGGAGCGGGCAATCGCCGGTTGTTGGACAGACCCTTCTGTACAACTATAAAACCCTACTGCACGACATAGCTCAATAATAAGAATTACCTGGTTGCCCAAGGCAAGTAAAACGCAACGTAAGGCTAGTAAATCAAACTACAAAAGGAATGAAACAAACGCTTCCTCCTCATCTCTGTTGAGAGTTGCACATGTGCAGCACCGATCGGGCACAGGAGTTTAGTTTGGTGGCGTAACCTCTGATAACATTGAGAGCGGATGTTCCCAACGTAACCAGGAAACCAGACGTTTCCTGATATTTCCACATAATAACATTCAGATAAAAACAAGTGGGACTGCACCTTCTCTTTCCGTTTACTCATCACTGAACAATCTTGTGGAAAATGAACTATCTCCAGATTCATACCTTGGGTTGGTATGGTGGTGGAGCACCCGTTCCGGTCCCCGGCCATGCTGGTGGGTGCGCTGGACGGACAGGATTCCCGTAGTGGTTTTGTGGAGGCTGCTGGCCTGGCTGCCATTGCTGCTGTGAGGGGGCATACGCACCAGAGTGCACCCACCCGTCGGCCTGCGAGCTTGGGTGGAGAGCCTGGCCAGAGGGGTATGGGGGGTTTGGAGGCATTGCATGACCGCTTTCATTGTAGTGGGGGTAGGCTCCAGGAGGATATCCAGGACCCTGAGAGCAAAAGGCAGAACAGACGTGTAGTATTTCAAAAAAATATTCACCAAAAAGACCAACGAAATCTATTTTATTACAAATGTCACTGTGCAAAGTGCGTAACAGTCAGAGAAAATCAGCTGCAATGTTATACTTGGCAAGTCCTAGTGCCAACATTTGACCATGGCGTGTGCGTTTAAAGGAACTCACCCCTTGACAGTGTGGACCAGGATAGTGATGATGTTGGTGTTGAGAGTGTGGCTGCCCAGACGGCCCACTGCTCTGCTCCGCTGGACAGACCTGGTTAGGATAAGGACCTGGAGCGGGTCTCTGAGGGTCAGCACAGTAGAAAGGGTTGGACGGGTGGAAACCACTTGTTGAATATTGATTCTGCGGAGGGCTGTAGACACCATGGCCATTTGGATAACCTCCGGGCATTACCTACATAGAAAGCACAAGAGAGGGGAAGGAGGGAAGGAGGGAGGGATTCATTATGAGAAACGGCATTGACTGAGTGTAAACATCTATCATGGTGACGTAACCGTGTCCACACAGTCGCTGACTGTACGAAAATGTAAGCGAAGGGTGAAAAGCGCTTAAGAGACTTAAGATAATGAGCAGATTTACTCCTTCTGTAACGCTCTGGGATTTAGAGGCTGTGTTGCCTCATGAGCCATACCTGTTGATTGTACTGTGGCTGAACATCTGATCCCGACGGATAGGTATTTGCATAGTGTCCTGTGGAATGAGACTGGGGATACCAGTAGTGTGGAGGGTATCCTGGGTACTGGGGAGCATCCTGTGAACACACACACACACACATATATATATATATATATAGATATAGGAGGGTTATTTTAAAGAGAAACTCTGTCTTTAAGCACCAGTGTTGGTACTATTTATAATCACACCTGGTAGAAGATACTATAGGAAACTGTAAGTGCTGTTTTTAACATCACTACCGATCCCAGGACTCCCAATAAGTGAGTAAACAGTGGCACTGACTCATTTACGGCTCGTTGAACCATAGCAGCTAAATGCTACACAGCTACCCGGAAACAAGCCATGCTGCAGACTATTACAACACGCATGTATACTATCAGCACTATCAGCACTATCAGCAGTGTTGTTACACCGGGACTAAAGGTCACAAACTCGGGTAACAGCTCAACAGGCAGTGGCGGCGGGCAACTATTACATAATGCCACGGCTAGCTCAGTTAGCCTAGCACAGACAAGAGCTCCACCGTTACGCAAGCTAGCCGGGGTACCAAACGTTTAAACCCCCCCCCACACTCAAAAGGCAGCAGACAGCCCCCCAGGAGACCCCGTCTAACACCGCATCCACTCACTAACCATGGTGTTATTCCAGCTCCCGTTGTTAGTCTCCGAGTTGCAGGTGGAGGGCCAGCCAGATTTCAGATTTGACTGCATTTGGTGACGCTGCGCCAGCTAAACGCGGTCCCCGGCAGCCGTCCTGTCATCCGCCATTGTTAAAAACCAAACGCAACAAGAAGAAATCTTTAAGGGGGAAAACCTAACGTGGCTGGTGGCTGGTCTCTAGGGGGCCGTCGGTTGGCGTTAGCAGCGGACGTCGCCGTCTTTCCGCAGAAGTGGAAGAGATCCGCTTTATAATGAGTGACTGACAACTGGGCCGATTCGTGGTACTGTCTCTTTAAATGAGGCGAGAGGGGTCAAAACGACAGAGCGCTCACTCTGTTGCTACTTTGCGGCACCGCGATCGTCTTTCAACGTGCTGCGAGCATCTGCTGTCACGTTTAAATACTGTATTTAAATGTGAGGTTATGAGTTTTTTTTTCTGTGGGCTAACTGTTTGAATCTGATTTAATTTAAGCACTTGTTTCGGCCACACAAGCAAAAAAAAAAAAAAAAAAAAAAAAGTGTTTTTCCGAATCTGTCGCCGCCTCTTTTCCATATACGATCTTTGCTGTCGCATGTACGTCAGCAGATGCTTTTAGCCAATAGGAAAAAAGATCTTAAAAATATTATTTATTTTTCAATATTAACTCATGTTTTAATCTTTAAAAACCACCTGCTTTTGGTGCTACATTTATTTAAAGACATATTCTTAAAACAGCGGTCCAAAAACGACCACAAAGAGAATTTAAACTGCATTGCAGCGCCCCAAAGGGTTAAACCTCTACAGGAAGTTTATCCCGTGCGTGTATAAAGACGCTTCCTGTGCTCCTCTTAAAAAGAAACATATTTTGAAACATTCATGGCTTGACGTTACATAAAGATACACGAAGCCAAATAAACAGCAGCCCAAGATGAACTACGTACCGGGGACGGCGAGCCTCATTGACGACATCGACAGTAAGTTGGAGAGGGAGGATCCGCTCCCTCGTTCATGGTTTTGGTGAAGAAGGGGAGACCAAAAAAAAAAAAAAATCGTTTCAAGATGTGGCATCGTGTGTCTCACACTTGGGAATCACTCGTACCCGCTGAATATTGTGATTAAACACGCTTTTGTTGGTTGTGTCCTGCAGAGAAACACCTGGTGCTGCTCCGAGATGGCAGAACACTGATCGGTTACCTCAGAAGCATTGATCAGTTCGGTATAACTCATTGATTATCTCCCACTTGTTTTCACTGTAACTCTGCACTTTATATCTCTAACCTGTCCCTCTTCCCCTCCCTCTCTCCCTCCCTCCCTCTCTCCATCCCTCCCTCCGACAGCCAATTTAGTTTTTCATCAGACAGTTGAGCGCATCCACGTGGGGAAAAAATTTGGAGACATCCCCAGAGGAATATTCATTGTGAGAGGAGAGAATGTGGTGCTGCTTGGAGAGATAGTAAGTGGGATTAACCTCCATTTTATATATATATATATATATATGTGTGTGTGTGTGTGTGTGTGTGTGTGTGTGTTTTTGAATGATGTGAGCAGCTCAAGTGAAACAAACTTGGGGTTTAAAAACAGTAGATGGAGATTAATTACTGCTAATAATATAATATACATTAGGCTTCAGTCATCTAAATGTCTGCTGCCTTCTAATAAATGTGCTTTTTTAAAAATGTTTTATGGCAAATTAGGCCCCTTTTTTTGTTGTTGTTGTTTTGTAAACAAGGATGCAGACTAGGCAATGCTGAAGATGGGATGATTTGTTATATGCAGCCTCTTATGTGGCTGCTGAATGCTGACTGCTAGAATCCCCCAGGAACGCTCACATGAGCTATAAACGTAGAAAATGTATTAATCCATCCGACTCCCTGACGTTCTGTAAAATAGGGATGCACAGAATCGATTTTATAGCCGTGTAGGTTTTCACATGCAAGGAATTTGCCTCGGTATAATAACACAGCATGAGGAAAAATATAAAGATAATATGACCATTACTTAAATGAATAAATGAATGAAGAGCAGTTTAGTTTGTGCAGCGACGTGTTCGCAGTACGATGCATAAAGATAAAGGGGTAAAGATAAGGGTCTAGTGCCTTGTTGATGAGGCCAGCTGCAGAACGGGGTCAATAATGGGGAAACTGATATTATCGTGTATCCAATAATTAAATTATATAGCTGATAAATCTGCAAACTGGTTTTTAGGCTTTATGTTCTATGAAAGCCAAAGTAAGTTCATTAAGTTTTTTGATTTTTCTAAACAGTCAGAGCTGTTTGTTTTTTGTTGTGGAATATTAAATCTTTGCTCCCTACTTCTTACCGTTGGCTATGCTTAAACTACAGGGTATGAACTTCTTTTTAAAATACAAAAATATTTAATATTCAGTTAATTTACCGGTATCGACCATGAGAAGCAGGTTATTATCAGTTATTGTATCGGTTGGTGGGGGGGAAACAAAATCCATATTGTGCATCCATACTGTGAAACACAAGATTGGAAACCTACAGAAACATACAAACAAGATACAAGAAGAGTTGAAGGAACTTAAACATCCATAATATTAGATTTTCTTTAATGTATGTGAATGTGTGAAGACACATTTCATACTGACAGTATGGGACCTTCAAGGCCTGCACACAACGCATACATGACACATGAACCCAGACTCTGTAACTCTATAAATATGCATCATTGCATTCAGTCACAAATCTGCATGTTGACATCAGTACGGCTGCAGAGGATGCTGCACTTTATCAGCATCAGCATCAGCACATGATCCTCTAATAACATTTTCATGTTATCGAGCTCAGTGCTCCAGAGGATGTTAACATCTTTTGTGGTAGGAGAGGTTTGCAGTGGCTTGATAACTACACTGAGTTGTTATTTCATTTTTATTTTATTAGTCACTTATTACTCATTATTAATTCATTTCAATTGCTGATGTGGGGAGAGATTCAGTCTGCACGCAGGCGAGGTTTGTGGTTGAGTAGCACTGGTGGCTTCTTCAGACAGTTCTACTGAGACATTAGATTACCACAGCAGTCACAAATCTCTGCGTGCTGTATGATAAAGAGGTTCTCCTGCAATGTTAATTAGTAATGGGAGGTAAGAGTAAACAGATTGCTGCTAATGTAGTTACAGTGTCAGACAATGAAAACAAATTGCAGCTGATAAACAGTGAAATTCCAGGTTTATTTGCACTGTGTAATAATATTAATAATGTAAATAATATGGTGACTCTCTGTCTCTGCAGGATGTGGACAAGCCCTGCGACACGCTCCTGCAGCAGGTCTCCATCGAAGAGATCCTGGAGGAGCAACGGTTGCAGCAGCAAGCCAAACAGGAGACGGAGAAAGTCAAAATGCAGGTCCTGAAAGACCGAGGCCTTTCCATCCCCAAAGCCGACAACCTGGACGAATACTAACGCGGCCTTGATCTCCGGGGAGCCTCGTTCTCAGTTTGCGTCAGAACTGAGACATTTTTACGTTGAGTTTGAGAGAGCATGGGAGCGTTTTCTGTTGTTGTATGGGTACAAGGCTGCATCCTGCTGGGCCTGTATACTATAGCGTACTGTATGAATTTAATTTGAATTAACTGGAGAGAGAGAGAGAGAGAGAGAGAGAAAACATGTGATAGCTGCTCTCACTTTTTGCAGATCATGACAGAAAAATGGAAATAATTCATGTGTTTTTGATCACTCTGTTCACAACTTAGCAATTATTTTACAGCAGCACTTTGTATTTTGTCACTGATATGCTGTGTCTTTTTATTTGGAGATATGTGGGCCTGCTATTGACAAAACAAAAAACTTGCTATGCTCCATTAAAGAGTTTAGTTTTTCATGATTTGAAGGCGTCCTTGGAAAAAAAAAAAAAAATCCTACTGTTTCACTTCCTCTGCTGTCTTTAATGCATTAAAGGAGATATTTGGGCACATTTGCAGCCCGTGATGGCGCCACCGTCTCAGCACAATGTGACATCAAAACGTGAGACTCGTTATTAAGGGGGGAAAAAAAGGTCATAATTCATTTGGATAATTCAGTTTAGGGCAGGCGGTGTATCAGTGCATCAGACTGCCGCCTCACGTCCTGTTTATAAAAAGCAGAGCGCGTCCGGAGTAATCGATCCTATCTGCCTTCATGGGTCAATAACAGGCTTGTTAATCGTTTGGGACGGATACAGTGAGTTAATATTAAACAGGCGCTCCGCAGGAACCCTGTGACCGCTTCAGTATACATGGTATCCTTCCGCCGAGATTCAATGTATGTTTTATTTTTATTTTTATTTTTTACTGTGAACACTTTACACCAGCCTGCATGCAACCAAAAAAAAAAAAAAAAATGAAAACGTTTGCAAAAAGATGTTAAGCTTTGTGCAGGTACGACTTCCGGGCTAATTTCAAAATAAAACTCCACAGAAGTCCCTTTTTCTATAATTTATTAAACTGACAACCCCTGACTAAGTGACATATTTAATAGGTAGTTCATATTATGATCAAAACTGTACACTTAATCCAAATAATGAACACAATATATGCAAGAATTTAGCAGATTATTTCCTGTTTAGGGAACTTTTAATGCAATCCTCTATCAATTAATTTATTTTTTAAATAGTTTTTAACAATCATGCAGACTTAAAAGGCTTCTTCTTTGACAAATTCAATATTTTCTCTTCCCTGACGCTTACCTTACTTCACATTGCGTTTACTTTTCCTCACAGAAGTGAACCAAATGTTGAGATATCGGCCTACTGTGTATATTCTTTGAAGTTTTCGTACACCCCTTAAAATCAAGAAGGCCTCGCGACCTCCCCCATGATGCTTCGACCACCAGGAGGGCAAAAGTGGAGATTATACCAGACTATACAAAGACCTGTACATATACTGCTTTTAGATTACGCCGCCTGGAAATGATAGAAGACAAAAGCCTCCAAATATTATAAATAAATATTAAATTGTCATATCAGTTTACGCACCAGCGCTCCTTTGAGTCTCAGGGTTTGGATCCTATTTTCTGAAGTAACCAACATGCAAGAGATGATCTGAATATGGCCCAGGTGAACAATTATTACAGTCATATAGAGATATTTAGTTTGCAGTGTTAACAAAGGGCCTGGTCCAACATGAAATAGGCAAATAAAAGCCTTAAATCTTGAGACGTTACCACCTAATTCAATGCATCTGTATCATTCAATACAAATACTGTTCTAATATACCACAATAATACACCAGCAGATGGCGACTTTACCTTTTTCACCCATTTTACCTTCATTTGTATCATTGCAATAGAGCCAAAGTGACATTTTGGTGCAACTTTTACACAAGTGTGATATAGAAACCAGTGCACACACACTGAGAATGGACTTTTAATGAAGCAGAAAGAGTAGAACAATTTGAATATGGAAATTAATACTTTAAAAAACAAGCAAACTATTTGTATATGTAAAAGTAGGTAGTTGGGTTAGTTAATGCTAATATTAGCTAGTTAGGTGGGGTTTTGCTAACATGAACTAACTTGAGATGTTGTGACTTTATGTTGCTTTTAACCAGCTGTAATTTTAGTTTTTCTTTTCGGTATAGATGAGGCCGAGCACATAAAAGTACAAGAAAACTAAAAACTTTTTTTTAAAAAGTCTTTTAAAACGTTTTTTGAATTAGTTAGCTAAGCTACATAAATCTAGCTAGGTTAGCTAGCATTTTGCTAACATTAACTTGAGATGATGTATCTTTATTGTCACTTTTATCTTTTATAATTAAAAAATAATAAAATAAACAAGCCCAGCACAAATACAAGGAAATTTAAAACTGTTTAGTTTAGTTTAGTTCTAGCTAATCTACATAAATCGTTAGCTTGCTAATTAGCTAGCATTTTGCTAACATTAGCTGTCAGTTAGTAGCTAACAATTGATGTAGCTGAGCTAGCTAGTTAGCTTGCATTTTCGCTAGCATTAGCTGTCAGTTAGTAGCTAACAATTGATGTAGATGAGCTAGCTAGTTAGCTTGCATTTTGCTAACATTAGCTATCAGTTAGTAGCTAACAATTGATGTAGATGAGCTAGCTAGTTAGCTTGCATTTTGCTAACATTAGCTGTCAGTTAGTAGTTAACAATTGATGTAGATGAGCTAGCTAGTTAGCTTGCATTTTCGCTAGCATTAGCTTACTCAAGATGACATGACTAACGTTACATGTCGCTTTTTATCTTTTAACCTTTTTCTAAATGTGGTTTTATTTTCAACATTGACGTAGCAAAGTGCGAGGAAATTAAAAACTTTTTCAAAATAACATTTTTTTAGTTCCCTTGGCTACGTACAGTAAGTAGCAAGCTAGTCTACATAAATCGTTAGCTTGCTAATTAGCTAGCATTTTGCTAACATTAGCTAATTCACATTAACATTAACTTGAGATGATGTGACTAACTTACATGTCTTTTATCTTAATTATCTAAATGTGGTTTTCTTTTCAACATAGACAAGCCCAGCACAATAAGTGTAATTTTTAATTTTTTATTTTAATTTTTTTATAATTTCCTTGCTTTAGTACAGTAATCTTCACAAACCGTTAGGTAGCATTTTGCTAACATTAGCTGTCAATTGATGTACATTAGCTTTTAAAAAAAAAAAAAAAAGTGCTGTGTGTTGGGGTTTTTTTTTTTTTTCCAACATAGACGAGGTAGTACAGTACAGTGAGGGAGACAGTTGCCCTTAAAGGGGTAATTAATAGAACCAGTAATACGCTTTTATTTTGTTAACAAGTGAGCTCCGGTGTTGCCGTGTCTCTCTCTCGCTTGACGCAGCCGTGACACCGACAGGCCACGCCTACTCTGATGACGCACCCAACCGGGTGGGGGGCCGGAGTAGGAGGAGGAGGAGGAGGAGGGGGCGCGCTGATGTCCTCTGGTGCTTCTCAACCAGCTCCTGCTGTTGTAATGTGAGGCTGGTAGTATCCTGGTGTACCGCTGGAAGAAGAAGAAGAAGAAGAAGAAGAAGAAGAAGAAATCCCCCCTTTACCCCCCCACTCCCCAACCCCACCCCACCCCCCCACCACCACCACCCCCTGCCGGTTCGCGGACCATCGGTGCATCCAACGTGAACTATATATCTTCTGCACCGGAGAGAGAGAGAGAGAGAGAGAGAGAGAGTTACGCATGGACCGGGTTTGGGGGCAGTGGAGTAGACATGCAGCGCTTCCAGCCCACAACAAGAACCATGCCTCAGCTTACACTGCAAGCGAAACCTATGACATCCCGTTTTATCCCCCGACGACTCTGATATGAGGAGTGAAGACAAGTGAACCATACGAGCTGAAGGGACGTTGTGTTTTTTTTTCTCCTGCAGACGGAAACCCCCCCCTTTTTCTTTTTTAAATTTTTTTTTTAGGATTTTCTTTTTTTTTAATGGAGCTGGAGAACATAGTAGCCAACACTGTACTGCTGAAAGCGAGAGAGGGTAAGTGGACACACACATATAGAGATAATATATATATATATATATAGGGGGTTAAGTGGGCCTGGCTGTCACATTTTGCGGCTCAATATGCAGAAAAGGTGGGAATATAATGATCCTGATGACGGCTCTAGGTGAGCCTGCAGACTGTAGGGCTCAGTACAGCAGGTAAACCCTCCGGATGCAACAGAATTAATATATGTAGAATATTACACCCAGTTTGAATGCATCTTATTTAAATTAATGCATCTGGGGATTTAAAAATCAAACTCCTGGATCCTTTTTATCCTCTCTGATTTTGACAGATCATATGCGTTTTTCCCACGTATGTAAAAGGGGGTGGTGTGTGTGTGTGTGTGTGTGTGTGTGTGTGTGTGGGGGGGGGGTCTGCCTCCCACATCCGCTTTCGCTGTCTGTGCACATGAATGCGCTCTTTCGCAACATTATACATGCTGAGGCGCACATTGAAGCGGGGAATAACTCTTCTCACAGAGCGGATAAATGAGTGTAGGCTGGCTGGCATTTTGAACGGTGATGTGATGACGTGCCTGGTGTTGAGATCTATGTATTGGGGCAGGGGGGGCTGCACACACACACACACACACACACACACACACAGGGTATAAACGCTCCAGTGTCTGGGAGGGCCAGAGGCAGTGTGTGTGACTGTGTGGTGTGAAATGTATAAAGATGTACAGTGGCATTAATTGAAGAGTACAGGGTCGTGGTGAGGGCAAGGAGGAGGAAAAAGGCCTGCAGGTGAAACATCACGCAGTCTGACGCCATGATTGTTTCCTTCTGAAAGTCCTCTGGAGGTTCCTGAATCTGTTCTGGGAACCAGTGGGTTAAATAAAACTACCCAGCATCATCATCATCATCACACTTCCTCGGAAGCCTATGCGTGTCCACATCCAGATGTTATCTTTTCACCAACTGCACACTGTTGAAATAAAATCAGTCTGTGTTGTGCCAAAGTTTTGGTTGCACGTGGTTTCATTTGGTAATAACAGTCTCACAGGAGTTGAGGAGGGGAGGGTGACGCAGGGAGGAGGCTCCATCCATTTATCTCACAATGATGACAGTAAGGGGGAAAAAAAATAGAAAAAGGGCAGAGAGAGTTTCATGGGAATTAATAGAATAATAAAGTGAGACAGGAAGCTGACATGCTGTCAAAAGCCCCTCACGAAGGATGCATTCACCCTGCGGGTCAATCTGGGCCGCTTGTTTTATGGGAGCGGAGCGCGACTGGGGCCGGGTGAATTAAGCTTCATGAATTAATAAGCGCGAGTTAATGACCCGTGACAGATCTTGCTTGTCCCAGCTGCTCCATTGGTGCTCGTCCAGGCCCCTGTGTGTGGGGGAGTTAAAAAAAAAGAGGGGCCCTACCATTTCACATCAAGGAGGG